TTTCCTGAATTTCCTGCGTGGAGAGCTCTTGTCTGTACCAATGTGTGTTCTCCAATCTAGCCAGATTTGTAAGTTAGAACTGGGTCATGGTAGTGGGGGATAGGGGGGAGGAAGTATTGAGGAACTAGAAGAATGATTTGTGATTCATCGGTGCAATACTGCACCTTGGTTGAATTATCCCTTCCCTATACCACTTCTGTGGGGGGATATCCAATTATCTACAGATGGGCTTTGGGTCTTCACTCCAATCCTCCTCTTTTGCTTTGATATAGTTGTTTGTTTTGAATCTTTTGATACCTGATGCCTGATCCCATCGACACCTCATGATCACACAGGCTGGTGTGCTTCTTTCATGTGGGTTTATTTGTTTCTCTGCTAGATGGCCGCTTGTTTGATTTCAAGCCTTTAAGACCCCAGACACTATCATTTTTTGATAGTCAGACACCATCTGCTCTCTTTATCACATTTGCTTATGCTCTGATTTTGTCTTCAGTGATTGTGCTGGGAAGGTGAGTAGCAAAGAGTGCCAGGTAATCAGAACAACGTGTTCTTGTGTTAAGGGAGGCCTTGAGTGGCGGCCCAAAGTCTGTCTGCTATCTTGATATTTATCTTATAAATAGATGTGCATTGGTCTCTATTCCTCTCATTATAAATTAATATATTTACATATATACATGCCTGTAGCTATACTTCTATAAATAGCTTTTGCTTCCTATTTCTTTCCTCTGTTTCCTTTCACCTTCTTCCTTTCCCACTATCATGCTTACCCTCCATTTGGCTCTCAGTAATTCCTCTCGGATACCTTGCTCTTGATCAAGCCCCACCAGGCATTACATGACCTCCTCACCATCAATTTTAGATCTCTCGTTGTTCCCTTATCTGAGTTTGTTGACTCCTTACTCCCCCTCCCTGACCCCTCCTCTCCCATGCCCGCCCCCCCCCCCCAGTAGTTTTCTCCTCGGATTGTTTGTCCTATCTTATATAGGGCGAGAGAAAAACAGAAACAAACAAAAGCATTTCCTAACATACTTAGTCTATTCTGAATCCCACACACTGACATGCCCTGCTTTTCAAAATCTGTGACTTTGCTTTTACAAAAGTCTTACATTTATGCCTGTTTGCGTTTTCATTAGCTGAAAGAAATTTGAAGAGCATTTTCACTTTTATGGGACAAGATAGAAACAGAAACTAGAACATTTGTGTTGCAGAGACCCATTAAAGTGGTGCTGCCCTGCTCCTCTCCCGGGGTGGTACTCAGCACTGTCACTGTAGCTCTGAGCTGTGGAGGAATGCGGCATCTTAGGGTCAGGTTCGATTTTATGTGTTACTCGACATGATCTGCAGGCTATTTCTGTGGTCTGAGCATGCTCAATCCCCTTCCTGTCCTTATGAATGAATGGGAATCGCCTTTTCATTTTGCTCCCTTTTGGCTGACAAAAAGTTTCAAGGGCTTGCTGTCTTTTCAGACAGTGGGGAAACCTGCATTTTCTATATCAGAGCATTTATTTCACTTAATATATTTATTATGTTCTCAACGTACAACTAACGCCATCAGTCAAGCATTTTCAGTCTTGTAGAAGGTTCTAGGTCTGCTATATCATTTGAACAAAGCATGAATGTTTTAAATGACATCAATGGTGTGGACATTTAGGATCTGAAAAGCTCACACCTCAAGGGAGCGGGGGATTATGACACTGGCAAGGGAAAGACTGTGCGGAGGAAAAGCATAATACCAATGACGCCTGCTCAGTCCTGGATCCGGCAGGGCTGGACATTCGTTATATGACTTACTCTGCATGGCAATGCGATCGGGTGGTTGCTGTGATTATTGCTGTTTTTATAACAATGAGGAAACGGAGGCTTGGGGATGCGATATAACTTTCCTTGGTCACAGAGCTAATGAATAGTCAAGTTGGGACCCAGATCTATAAAAGGGAACACTTAGCATCGGGTCCAGCAGTCAGAGCTGCCTCTGAAACCACACTGCCTTCACATCACAATTCAGGGCAGCAGTTACTTGATGCAGAAGTTTTATAGATCAATATAAGTTTTACATAAAAAAGGACAAGAGGTATACAGGTAATGGGATAGATATATGTTTCCAACCTTATTTTGCTATAAACAGATAACGAAATTCTGTTAAAAATACCATTGGCAAAAGTGACCGATGACCCATAATTTCACAAAATAAGGACACCTGGTGGCATTTGTGGGTTAGGTATTGTGCTACTAACGCCAAGTCAGAAGGCCCAACTCACCAGGTGTTCCTCAGGAGAAAGGTGAGCTATCAGAAATTTTAGACAGGAGCCCTAAGTGCCGGAATTGACTCGTGGCAGGAGTTTTGAATACAGTAAGCTATTAGGGAGGAGTGACTGTCTAAGACAGTTTTCCTAATATGAGAAATAATCAACTTTCCCTCAGTCTAGGTACATTACCCTTGTAATAGCCTAATCCGCTCTGTTGGCGAGCAGTCGTCTGGAACCCCATTGCTGTGTGGAGATTATTAGGAGTCAGCCAATTTATCCTGAGTCCACTTATTTACTTATTGCTTTAAATACATCATTATTATTTTATTGAAGGACATTATAAATTACCCTCACAGGGCATATGGTAGTTGTATTGCTATTATTAATTCGGTCACTCGTATCGAATTTGAAATACTGTCAGGAGAAAGAAAGCATACATGTACAGGACAGTTTTTTAGACCATAGTACATGGGTTGTTAATTTGTATAGACTAACAGCTTAGGTGACTAGCTACTATCTACATTTTACATTGAGGGTTGCTGATAGGGCAAAATTTTCATCAGTACTCTTTCACCAAGACTGAGAGTCATTTCAGCCTTAGACATGTGGGAGTGTTTCAGTGTCTTTAATCTGCTACCTGTGTGTTTAAGATAATGTCCAGTTCACTGAGTGGGAGTTCCAATTGAATCCTTCTGGTGTGGTCCATGAGTGATGTTGTGTACCTAGAAAGGACCAAGTCAAAAGTCCTGGTTGTCTACAGTACGTGCCCTAGGTCACTAAAACTTGAATGCAAGCTTGGTCAAAAGCATCTGGCTAGGTACCTGATACTGAGCATATCCTCCCCTTGGGGGTCTACATACTTAATGTGGAACTTTTTCCCCCCCAGGGGTATGTAGCCCCACCCAGTTTGCCTAAGAACTGGAGCAGTCCCCTTTTCTGGGACAGACCTGTCCTCCATCTCACCACTTCTTGGGTATCCAATAAGGTTCACGAACCTGTCTTGTAGGAATATCCAGTTAATTGGGGATGACCATAGAGTAATGTCATATGGCAGGAGCTGATGGATCTTTCCCCTCTCTCCACACAATGGAAAAGGGACCTACTTGAGGTGAGGGCCCCTGGTTGGGGTGGTTTTTAAGATGAATAAGGGACTGCTACCTGGTTCGTGAACTCTCGGTAGGCAGGAGCTAGTGGCCTTGGGCAAGACTTTCTAGATTCACGAGAAAAGCAAGCCTTTTACGTGCATTGGCTTATATTTAGGAATCTGTTCCATTTAACTTTTATCTTGAGCAAATTTTTCAAAGGAATTTGATTTCCGCTGTACAACACTCATGATAAACTTGCTTATTCTTTAGAAGGCATTTTAAAAAGAAGCTGAAAATGTTGAGAGTGATCCTGAAGTACTGAAAAAGTATTAGGACTATGACAACACATTTTGAAAATAAAAAATCCCACAAGTAAAAAAACACCCTCAAACTAAAAAAAAATAAAAAACCATGCTGAGTGTGTATTTTGATGCATATTATTTTCCCTAATTAGTAATTGTGATTTATGACGATCTTTGAGTCTAGGCTTATGCTTCAAAACATTACATGTAAAAAATAAGAGCACTGCCAATTATTGCAACAAATTGAAGCTCTCAATTCCAGATTCTAGTTGAGTATTCTAAAGCCAAGAAGAAACGACCGATATCACTTGGGGGTGCACAAAGGAATGTTTAATTCTAGAGCAATAACTATAGGATTTAATCAAGCTAATGGATAACATGGGTAACAGATTTCTGTTTATTTGTTGAAGGCAGGTGTTATAAATGTGCTGGAGGCGGAGGAAAGGGCGGCTCTGGAGAGGGAGACTGAACATGCTTGAGCAAGGGGCGCTAGCTGATCAAGTAACATCTCAGGAAGACAAGAAGGGCAATCAAGATGATTGATAGAGGAAATGGGAATCTCTGGAGAGTCAGGAGATTGACCGAGGGGATCAATTGGTAGAGAACGAAGCCAGCTGTTACAAAAACAAATGTATCTACTTCACGCTTTTAAGTCGGGTTTCTCTTGTTAAAATGCCTTGATCAGACTAGAGGGTCAGATTTCCCAATCACCATGATTAGCATCCATCCTCTCATACTTCACCCACACACACATCGACAGCTTCTGATCTCTTCAGAGATTCCCTAGAACGAACTAGGAAGGTAGGCGTATCGTACACTAGATCTCCCACAACACTAAGCTCGTTACGTTATTAAGTATAAGAACGGAGGCATTAAGCTGGTAGAAAGGTAAAAAGAACCTCATAGTTTTTCTTTTTTTACACTCTATATTATACCTCATTGCATCAACGGCTGTTTGCTATAAATAACTACAAGAAACATGTAAATATTACATCAATAAAGATATGCACATTTCAGATTGTCTAGCATGCATCATTCAAGCTATTTTCCCCAAGGTTAAAAAAGAACATAGGAACTTAATTATTTCCTTAGGCATTTTAATCTTAAAACAAAAATCCCAAGTCTGAATCAGTGTTTTCTAAAAGCCTTGATGCACACGTGGTGCACACGTGAGGAGAGTCAGATTTAAGGAGAGCAGGTGCAAGTGTATTGCCTTGTGAGCTGGGTTTGTAACGGTACAAGCACTTGAAATCTACTTTTTAATCCAGAGTTCTTTCCACTGCGAGCTTGTTTTCTGGAAATGTACTCATGACACAGTCCTGTCTCCTCTCAACTGGACCTTAAAGCAAACAAGCCAAACTGTGTGGTGACTTTAAACAATAAACTTTTATTCTGAATATACTGTTTTTGCACAATAATTAGCACAACATTTTTGGGATTATAAATATTTTTATAACATTATTATACAAATTTTTACAAAATGTTTTTCTTTTTTCTTAATCAGGCTAGGAATTTCCACAAAAGTGTCCAGAGAACTTAAGAAAGGGGGAAAGGATCTAGTGTTCACAAAAGCCACTTGGTCTTTTGCGTGGATGCACAATGAGCACTTCAAGAGAACATCCCCAAGCAGGATCCAACAATCACACGACAACAAAGACAGTTTGCCAGGTCACATTGTGAACTCAAATGGCATCTATACAAGACAGTATCCCATTAGTCCCGGTGAAAATCTTTTGATAGAATTATTTGAACTAGAAATCAGATAGGTGAAACTATTGGTAGGAAGGCTCTAGTTTTTTCAAAGTCTGCAACTTTTTCAATACGCGATACTTTTGCTTACTTGATCTGCTCTTTACAGATATGTACACTGAATATTAACAATATTAACATTCTGTTATGAGAAAACAATAAAAGTTCCAGATAATAATATTTGAATTTTTGGGCAAATGAAATTCTACACTTTAAAAAAAGTCATAGCATTCCATTTTGTCTCACTAAGTCCGACTCTATACCTCTAGAAGTTTTAATGTCAACTGACATGAGTGATGGAATCATTGGAGGATTGAATTAAGACAGGAATGAAGCTTTGGTGGAGACAGACAAATATTTAAACAAGATGTCAAATACTAGAGCATCAAATAAGCAAGTAACACTTGGGTTGCAAAGGTCACTTAAAAGGGATCCTGCCTATTTGAACCCAGTAAGGCCTGTCTTAAAGTTAGTAAAAGGAGTATTATAGGAAAACTTACAAATGGCAGCAACACTGTTTTGTTTATTTCCAAGTTAAGCAATAATGCCTGACGCATTAGAAACATGAAAAAAGATCATACTAAAATCTTATAGGCCTAGGACCTAAAAATTTCTTCAATCAAACTTGCGAAGTATGTCATGTTAAAAACCTGTTACAAATCTGGACCACGATTGGTGTTTGGCAGTAATGCTGGTTGTTCAAATGAAGAAAATATGAAGAAATCAGTATTGCAAAGTTCTTCCTCAAAGCTAAATGTGGATGCAAATTTTATTTTGATTTTGTGTTAGTGACAAATGACATTAATCTTGGGTCTAGCATAAGTTAAATGAGTGAAGACAGTTAAAAAACTCATTTTTTTCTTGATTTCTTCTATGGTTTCATCTTTGGAAATGAATATTAACAAAAGGCTGCAATTTAAGTCCTTTTCAAACTCCCAGGATAAACCCAAGTTTGATAATGAAATTTGATGGGTGAAGTGTTACTGTCTTAGAAAACAATGTGTCAACAGGGAGAGACTGGAGCTAGCCATAAGGGCAATTTAAAGTCATCCAATTGATTACCATGGATGTGGTTGTCATCATACATACGTTTATTTTATTACAGGAAGTAAAGGATCATTGCAAAACTAGTGTATGTCAGCATGTTTACATAGCCATAGAAATCAAATCGGAAGGACCCTGCCACGAGATGCCAAGTTTAACTGTGATCACAACAAGAACTATGTCATCAGTAGATGAAAACATACTAAATCAGTGGCATTAGCCATGAAAATAGATAGTTAATGTTTTAAACATAATTTTAAGGTAGCTTGTTGTATGCTGGAAGCAATCTGATTGTTTTAATGCATGTCACTTACATACAGAAACCAACATAATTTTTAATCTTTCTCAACCATTTCATGATTTAAAATATTCTAGCAAAAGTTAATAAGTTTTAAATATTTAATTAACAAACTGCATGATTTAAACATATTGTCACTAGAGAAGTTATTTTTTTTAAATCACTTTGGTGTTTTTTAAAATGTCACTATAAGTTATAAATGATACTACAAAATCACAACAATGCATTAGAAATGGTAACTGATGTCAACTCTTAGAACTATAGTTGGCAAAGTGATTCCATTTCCACCTTCCCTTTATTTAAGATAAAAATAATATTTTAAATAAGGAAATGTACACAAATGGCACCTAAGGTATATTGGTGGTGGAAGGAAATTACAAATGTGTGTAAAGCTAAAAACAAAACAAATATATCTTTTAAACTATGCTAAATAATTGGTTATGTCTTTGATATTTGAATCATATTCAAGCATGCTGGATATTGTTAATAAGATTTTACTTAAAATTATATTTAAGAAAATTTCCAGCATATACACACACCAATATTTGGCATGTTCAAAAAAAGGAACAAGTGTATTGTACCATAAGCAGTATCATCAAACTCTCAGCCTTCAGCAAAATTATCCAATATTATAGTTACATGTTCATTGCTTTTTTATCCTTTCGGCAAATACTGTTTACTCCTGAAAATAAACCCTAAGCGCATAAATAATATTCTGCTACCATATTAATCTAAAATGAAATCTGTGATTTACTTCACTGACCATTTTCACTAATGAGGCTGTATAAAAACAATTTTTATTATTCACAATCAAGTATTCATGTGCATACATATAAATTCAAGGTTTCCTCTTTGTTCAAGTTATTGAAGACCATCACCAAGCTGCATGGACAGTATGGTCAAATGACCAGCCCACTTTTAAAGTAGCGAGACAAACGCAGCAGCAGCAGCAGCAGCAGCAATTTTTTGGGTTCTTCGTGCTACGATTCAAAAGAACAAAGAGGAAACCTACGCTGAATCTTCATTGAGAACATATATGTACTTTTCAAAAAAATAAATGTGTCAAATCTGGTTTTATGTACTTAAAATATCTGTACATAGGTTTTCAGGCAAAAGCACAAATCTGTATAAAATCCATTGGTTCCTATGTCACCAATTACCTAACCCAATTGTCCAGCATTTACATTGCACAGTATATTCAGAGTAGTTTAACAACATTTCTAAAGATGACTTAGGTGCATTACACAGCAAAGTTCATATTCTTACATAACAATATGTCACTCAGTTAATTTGCCAATGGACTACACTCTACAGCAAGAGAGGGAAAAAAAGAAGACTAAGAAGTTAAAATAGCAGCAGCATCATGCAAAATCCCCTTTGTAATCAAAGTTCATTTGTCACAAGAAAAACGTTTTTCCCTCCCCCCAACAAGCTTTTCTCAGAGCATTCTGAAGTATCTGGTTAGCACGACATAGCTGTCCTGTCAACGAAGGACATATTACATTGAAGCAAGGATGAAGGGCTTACACTTATGAGGAGCGATGCCACATATTCAAATTTCACCACCCAGCACCGTTAGGCCAATAAGTTCTCAGTGAATTATTTTCAAAGCAGCCATTCTTTACTCCACGAGAGCTCAATGGGTCTTGAATGGAGTGACCCTTGTTGGCAGAGAAGCCATTCTTCATAAGGCATTTTATTCATGGCATATTTTGTAGAAAATTAGCCATTAGTTTTCAGTAGTTTAGACCAACATTGATTCTCTCTCTATATATATATATCCCCCCCCCCCAGTAGTAACTATACAAAGCTGTAATCATTTTTTAACAGAAGAACATGTCAACACAAAAAAGCCCAAACAACATCAAAACGCCTTTTCTCCCCACTAGGGATCTTACTGGTGGTAAAAGAACAAGGATTGCAGCCAGTCAACATTCCAGGTAACAATCAGGACAATTCTTATGATTCATATACAATTTCATGGGGAGCCCTTTTACATGAAATCACCAACAATACAACGACAGATTTTCATATTCCCCAGAAGAGCACATTAGAATTTTGCTTTGATGTTACATATATGATGCAGCATTCACACAAGTTTAAGGATCTGACACCCTGACATGCAGCCAGTGGGTGCCTTATGAGTCTGCGCCTTAGTTTTACCATGGCATGGGCCCAGTGACAAGGAGCCCTGGTAGTGCATTTGTTAAGCGCTTGGCTGCTAAGTGGAAGGTTGGCAGTTTGAACCCACTAGCTGCTCCACAGGAGAAACATGTGGCAGGTCTGCTGCATACAGGTTTACAGCCTTGAACACCCGATGGAGCAGTGGGACTCCATCCTACAGGGTTACTAGCCATCAAAATTGACTTGATAGAATGGATTAAAAAATGTTTTTGATGGGCCCACATCATGTTCTGCTGCTTTGACAATTGACCCTCTCTCTCTTAATGCAATCGAGAGCTCCTGTTTCGGCAGGGTCTGGAGTTTCGTTGCACAGATTTGGGCTTCAGAAGGTCATAACTGGGAGTGTCTGCTGCCAGATACCAGCCACAGGAGGACACACTGGATTCCGAGGATGGACCACAGGGAGGGACCTAAGCCAGCACCGCCACCGCAGTCGGTGTTATCCTCCTGTTGGGGGAAGACGAAGAATCAAAATCTGGAAAATACTGAGCAAGCCAACTTTTAGAAGGTCCCATGTTTTGTGCATTTCTGGACTCACCTTATACAATTGTTTCATTTGAATTCAAATCAATTGCACTTCTCATAGATTTTATTGCTCTGCACTGATGAATAGAGCAACTCCCTAGTACCACGTGAATGCCTTAAAATTTAACTGTCGATTCTGCTGAGTATTAGAGAAGGCATTTGAGTCATAAATTCTATTTAGAGTTACAGATCAATTTTAAGTGGACAATTTATTCTTGTTGGATAAAATTTCATATACAAATACATTAAGTAAAAATAGATTTTAATAGTATTCTTTGAAATTCCCAAGAAATATTATTTTTTAGCAACTCTGCCCTGGTCCCATATTTGGGACTGGAAATGAAGGTTAAGAAGTGCACTCCGATTTTCCATAGGCCGTGCATCCAGTTTCGAAGGTGAACATACCCTGTGCACATGCAGCATCTGGACCTTCATCGTGAATGAAAATAATAAATAGTGGATTTGAACAAGAAACAACAGAAGGACACCCAGGAAACAGGTACTCAGAAAAATAAAAGTGCTCCACTGGAAACAAGATCCGTTAGAGCCACGAGATTCAAGCACTGGTCACACTCACTTGGGCTCCCCACTGGCTAGTGGTGGCCCATGAACTTCCTACTAAAGGAAAAGCAATCCCCGATTTCTATACTCTCGAACATTTTCCATATGCTTTCACTGCGTTAGAAGTACTTCGTTGCAGTAAAAAACCCCAACAAAACCTTATAGTTAATCATTCTCATAAGTGTTGCTTTTTAAGAATCCAAGAATTAAACTAATAGATCACACACACACACACACAAAATGTATTTTGTATTTAGTTTCAGAGTAAGTTTACAAAGTCCCTAAGCCTCCAGGGAAAAAGAATTGTGGATTATTGTGGTTTGTCAGGAGCAGGCTGAGAGAAGAACCAACACAAGAAAAGTCTGTTATGTTCCTAAAGAAAAACATCATCTTCAATTCTTAGCTCTTGCCCTACTTGCCCTTTCAGGAGCACTTCACACTGCATTTCCTCTGACTTGAAAGATCTTCTCATGTGTTTCTGGCCAGCACACTGACTGGTTTCCACCAAATTTATTTACATTCTAACTTTCCAGCTTTGCATTGCTCTCCTCTTTATTTAATCTACATGCTAACTTTCCAGTGGTTAGTACTTGGTCTTATTTTCATTTTTAATTTAAACGTTCTTCCCAGATCATCTGAGAATAATCTAATTATTAAATTCCATTTATTTACTAACTCAGAATTCTATATCTTCAGGTTATTAGACTCACTGATCTCACTTTTGTATCTTTCTGTCTGCCTCACAGTCATATTAATAAACTTGCCCAAAATATAATTCATTTGAATCTCAGGAAATGACACTTCTAGTAGTGGAAATAGGACCAAAAACACAAGCCAGATATAACACCTCTCCTTTTCTCAAATTCAGTTCATCAGTATGACCTCTTAAGATCTAGCTTGAAATTACATTCTACTTATATTTATATCCAAATGATCAGCTCGCTGCTTCTCATCTCATCTCCTGCTATACTTACGTAACAGCTGCTCATGCAGCTCACTGTTTCCATGGCTCACCTTTTACCACCCCCTCCCTCTCAAAAAGGACTCAGACCTTGTTAAAGGCATACATCAAATATCGTCAATCCCTTCTCATCAGTGTCAAGGTGAGATCTGCAATCTGTACCGAAGCCTCATGTGGTCTGGAGCCAGGCTGTGTCTCCATCTTCATTCTTCCTGCAAAGACCCCACCTTCCTCTCACCCAGCTCTAGGAAACTGGCTTTCTCTGCAGCAAGCTAAGGGGCTTGCCAACTCAGGGCTGTGGTATTGTTTTTTGCTGTGTGAAGATTGACCATACAATTTATTATACAGGTGAAGACAGTTTTGAGCGTGAAAGGGAATGCTATTGATTCTTCTGGGAGCAAAAATATAAACTAGGGCTGCGCCAGGCTATATCTCAGATAGAAGAACAAAAACCTCAGAACCAAACTCCCTGCATGTGAGACTATTCCAACTCATAACAACCCTATAGGGAGCAGGGTAGAACTGCCCACGGGTTTCCAAGACTGACTTTACGGGAGTAGAATGTCTCATCATTCTAGAAAGCTCATACATAAGAGGAATGTAACAGCACTTGATAAATGAATACTCAGAAATTCACACTGCCACCGAGTTGAATCCAACTCAGAGGGATCCCACAGAGCAGGGTAGAACTGCCCTTGTGCATTTCTGAGATGATAACTCACTACAGGAGTTGAAAAGCCTTTCCTCGCTCTCATGATAAATGAATAGTAGGCACTTTAGAAACCAGCGCATATAGTAGTTGATTAGAAATATCATGGTTATAGAATATTACCTTAAAGGTCTAAATCTCACATAACCAGGAGCATTTCTCAGTTGTGGCTCGGCATCAATTTGATATAACAGAAAACTAACATACAATCAAGACCCCTTATGTTTTTAGTTTTTATAAATCAGAATTTATGCATATGTTGTCAAATAAGTTCTGAATCATATTAATATTCTACAAGTTTATTATGGAAGGACAATATTCCCTCTTTTACTATATGTGGTAGTTATATAATCATTTGTCAATTTGAGGATTAAGGAGTCTAGGCTGTTAATCAGGGTATGGTCAATGAGATCTCCGTATGTGGGCATGGCCTTCCCCTAAGGATTCTGGGAATTGCTGAAATTTCCTCCTTGGAGGTGGGAGACTCTCTGCTGACACTCCCTGGGAGACATAGCGGCTGACAAGACACATGGCCCCACCCTGATGCAGAGATGCCTGCCAGTGCTGAGATGTTTCCAATGACTCTGGATCCAAAGACTTTCGACCCACTGGCCTGTGATCTTCTACATTCGGTGTCACTGCATGTGTTTCGTGAGTCTGAAAAGGACTTTATAGATTGGTAAGGGACATAGGGGCTAATATCGGAGTTATGGACTTGATTTGGACTGGACTGGGATGTTTTCTCAATGTTCAATTGCTCTTATATATAAATCTCTTTCTTATACACATGTGTGTCCATGGATTTGTTTCTCTAGTCTATCCAGACTAACACCACTACATTTCATATATATATTCCTTTTTTTTTGCTCTATTTCCTCTGTGTGGCAATGAGGTCTGATTATTTCTCTCTGGGAAGGGGTCATTCAGAAAAGTGATTTGGGGTCCCTGTAGTCTGCACATTGATTCACATAGAAAACTCTTGTCATTTTAGGTACCTGATTGTGTTTTCTCGTGTGTTATGCATAGTACCACCAGATAGACTATGATTTGACATTATTTAATAAGGTAAATTATGAGATAGATTGTGACAGTATTTTACATCATTAATGAGCAGATACAGGAGACACAGAAGCATGCTCTTCATCTTATAGAAACCAATGTCCCTGATCCCACTGGCACTATGATCAGACAAATCAGTGGGGATCACTGTCCTAGAGACTAATAGAATGGTTCAACAAATTGAAATAGAAAGAGGTAGTAGTGCCACTATTTATATTGAAATATCAACAGATTAGTGTTATTAGATTCTGTATTAAGGGAGCTCTCTAATGCAGCAGTTCTCAACCTGTGGGTCATCGCCCTTTCGAGGGTCAAACGACCCTTTCACAGGGATCGCCCAATTCATGATGGTAGTGAAATTACAGTTATGAAGTAGCAACAAAAATAATTTTAATGTTGGGGGGGGGGGTCACCACAACATGAGGAACTGTATTAGAGGGTTGCAGCATTAGGAAGGTTGAGAACCACTGCTCTAAAGACTCAATTCATCAAGGTATCAACTATTCCTTTTCCTTATTCTGTCTCTTATCTTAAAAAAACCTAGAAACAAAAGCCTAGGTGTTAGTTACATTCATATGATTTTGCCCTACATCCTTTGTGAACTCTACACAGTACATGGGCCTTAGCTTGGAGCTGAGATTTCCATAAATGCATTAGAGAGCTGTCACCCACTAGAAAACTGCAGAGACTAAACTCCAATCCAGCTCTCCTGTCAGAAAATACCCAGTTGTAGACTAGCACTGAAGCTTATAGCTTGACCAGTAATCGGTCCTCAATGAAGAAACTAATGGTCGACTGCTCATTATGTTTGCAATAGTTTGTTAATCTTTCAGCTTTTTATTGTTTTGGAGAAAAATGATACTTCCTTTGATATCATTATATCAACACAAATTGTTTGAACTAAATTCACTGTTCCATGCTGATAACCGTGTAGTCACAATCCTGTTAACTCAAAGTGTACCCATCTATGTTACTTTCTCAAGACTAACAATTGTGTTAAGAAAAATACATTTCTTAATGGGAACATTCAAGATTTTGAGGAATCTTAGATGAAAAGATTTAAAGCATTCATTGTTATATACATATTTTTATGCTTTAGGTAAAAAGGAAGTGGTCCCATTTAAAAAGCAGTACTTATTAATATTTTGTCTCTAGTTGGTAACCTAGAATTTTTTAAATAAATATTCTACGATTAAGTAAACCTTGGAATAAAAGGTGGAAATAAGTAGATATTAAAATTTCCCTCGCCTATTGAGTATAATGCAATGACTTGTTGAATTTCTGTTCTAACTGCTCATCTCTGTTATGACTATGGGGAGAAAGATGGGGGAAACGTCCTACTTCTGTCAAGAGGTATACTCCCAGAAAGCAACAGGGGCAGTTCTACACTGTCCTATAGGGGCAGGAATTGACTTGGTGACTCTTTTATTATGAATACAAACAGAAAATTACTCCCCTGATTTTTTCATTACAACTTTTATATGCAAATGATATGGTTGCCTGGGTGTATCTTTCAGGTATCAATAAAATGAGACCCCAGAGAGCTACCAATACGTAAATTTACATAATATATCCTTGGAGAGAGACTACCTAATTTAAAATTTTCTTTCAATTTTTAAAATTTAGTAGATTTATCTCATTGGGAAGCTTTTGCTCCTAAAATTAGTTTTCATTGTCCATGAAAAAATGCGGTTGTTTAGTAAGACCCAGTCTCCCACATTGCTTTCCTCCTCTGAGGAGCTCATTTTAATTCACGGCCACGGGCACATCGCTGTTTCGGTTCCGAATCACTGAGCACCGGGACAGGGATGAAGGAAAGCAACAGCTGTTCTGGTGACAACAATCACGGCGATTCCCAAGCACCAGAAAATAATTTGCAGGACTCTAATGGAAAAAATAAACAAATGAAAAAAAAAAAGCGAGTCCCCAAACATATCTTTTACGGCATTGATTATATAAATCAGAAATTGGTCAAAAAATATTTTAGAAAGGTCATTAGGAATGATTATTTTGGTCCAGATACTATGGGAGAAAAAAACCGGCAAAATGCTCTGGGAACGATTCTAGTCTATAAAACCCCAGTGATTTTCAGTAACAGGTGTGCTAGGAATCAAAATCAACGTGATTTCACCGAACACGTGCACAATATTAAAGAAAATACGCTTAGGGATTTAAAACGTTTACAGTAAAACAATTCTATAAGATTATTAATAATTCAGGAGTAAATAAAACTCAGAATGGAAGACTTAGAGTTCGTTAGATAATGTTTGATAACATTGAAATGATGTCATTGTCACCATCCTTTGAAAATAAACTCTCTTTATAATATTTCTCTTGGGCAAAAATAAGATATTATAAAGTATATGTTTTTTTTCCCTAACCATTGATTTAAATTTTATAAAGAAACCCGATGACACTATTATGATTATTAGAAAAATATAGGAAGCTGAAAATTTTTGTTTAGAAGAGAAACTTATGCAGCCTTTGAAACCAGTCATTTACAAACAGTATTTTAAGAACTTGTTTGCAGCATATTTAATATTGTGGATTTGGGAATATGGGTTATTTTCTAAAATATCAAGCCGAAAACAAAAACAAAGAAAAATTAGAGAAAGTGACTGACCATCCACACCACATGAAAACTTGCAGTAAAATGAAGGTAGGAGCTGACATCATGGTACAGGCACGACTCGTTGTGCATATAAGTTGATCCTATTAATAACGGGCAAAGTAGCAAGTACAGGAAAAGGAAAGAAAACACAGAAAAGAAGACACACAAGATGAGATTTCATGCAATTTGCTGGCAGTTAGCAGTTAATGTGAGCCTCCATCCAGAGCAGATTCACAGTGACCATTGCAAATAAGCATTATCAAAATATTCACTGCTAAAGAAACACAACACATTATTAGCACATCAAGCTATTGAGCAAGAGTTGTACTTTCACACACAATTCCCTAAACAATTTATAGGAACTTTAATTGCTGGACAGTTTTCTCTTCGTCAAATCTTTTTAGTGGCTTGATCAAAATGATATATTTCCCTAGGAGAAAGATATTTTAGATCATCAGTAAAATCCATGTAAGCAAATTTAATTGAAGCCTCTTGACTGTCAAACATTGGAGAAGTGGATGACTGGTTTCCCTAGAGGTGCATTCTACAAGCACAGTTTGCCACGAGGAAGGCTGTAGTAGACAGAGCAAGAGGGTTTCCTACATTTAATATACAGAAATCTTATTTTACTGAAGCAAATTGGGGAGTGGGGGCGCACAGAGATGATCCAACTACAACTTTGGGTTATTTTCCCCTTCCAAGAGATAAAACAAAGGGACTCATCGGTCCCCCAGCACCGATTCTCTTTGTGGCCCACTTCTCCTCTCTAATATTCAGCTGTCGGAGGCTCAAGGCAGGCCACTCGGGCTGCAGTTCATGCATGCATGGTTACTTTCAAATAAACTGTGCTGAAACACGTCGCTGCCATCAGCGGGTGCCTGCAGACAAGTTCTATCAATAACACATTAGTCTTGGTCTCATTAGGATGCCTTAAAAAGGAGGGAAAAAATGTTTAATAAAACAATGGCTTCCTAGGGGATTTATTTGCTGGGGCAGTTAAATTCAAGGCAGCTCAGAAGATGAAGGTAACTGTTTTGTTTTACCAATCTCAGAGGTAATTTGTTAGCTTTTCTTGAAGGACAGAAGGCGATCACAGGAGTTTTTTGGTTTTGTATTACAGGTAAAACCGTATTGGTCAGGAAAAGGCCAGGGAATTTTTGTCAATGAATGCTGTTTTCCCATCAAAACAATGCACCTGCCCATTCTTTGAAGGTAGCCATGGCTGACTTAAGAGAATCTCAGTGGGAAACCTTATCTTTGATATTACCCCTTCAAATTTCTTTTTTGTTTCCTAAACTCAAAAAACATTTAAAAGGAACACGATTTGAGTCCACCAACAATATTCAAACAGCTATTTTGATCAGCACAGGAATTTTGACCTGCTGTTTCCAACTTAGACTGATTCACCTCCTTAGGCAACCCGGTGGTCTCCTTCTCATGGTGAGGTACCGCATCGATGTGCTTAACCTACTGCGGACCCTGCACAGGCAGACATAGCGCACTACAACCTAGATCCTCTCGACTCAAGTGATCCTCCAGCTTCAGCCTCGGAGTAGTTAGGACTACAGGCCCATGCCACATCTTGGGGCAAATTTGCTGCATTTGAAGAGTGTCTAGTTTTTCAAGGAAGGGTGAAGTAAGTGGAAACACTGCTCTTTGGGGTGCACAGATCTAGTTGTAGGATACATCAAGAAATAATAGCTTCACATTTTAATATTTTTTGTTTAATAAAGGTTTCTATAATCTTGTAGCAATACTTTTTCACTTATCCTTGAATACTATGTATCAGTGGAAAAGTCTTATCCTGACTGAGACAAATGGGGCTGTATATTTGAGTATATAAATAAGTACGCCATAGTTAGACCTATTGTAAATGGGTTTTTTGAAACTTTTATAAATGTCCATTAGTGAACATCTGTCCTGACACGTTTTTATAGTACACAATTCATGAGGTAATAGTGTTCTTTGTTTGTACATTTATTGGTACTTTCAATCCATTTCAAGTGAAGGCACGGCTGAAAGAACCAGGGAAGTGGGAAAACTTTTAAATCATTTTAAATAGTAGCCAGGTTTTTCTTTCAGGATAGAATAAAGTTTCTTAATAATTAAACCTATGAAATGAAAGCCTAAAGCTAGTTATACATATAGAAAGAATAATGTTTACTAGGGGACAATAGTTTATTTGTAGGGAATGAGTGTTCATCTGTGGATAATACATATAGTAAATAGTATTTATAATATTTTATCAAATTAAGCTTCTGTAATTGACATGCTCTAACGTTAAGCAATGGAAACATTAAGAGACATAACACAAATATTGCATGTATAGGAATCAGATGACACAGAATTATAAACTACATGTTTTCTCAGGCTGTAGGAGTGCGTGTTCAATGAGTTGGCACTCATTTTAGGGCCCACAATAAAGTTTTACTCGGTGAACGTCCCTGATGAACTTGAAAAAGAGCATGTATTCTGCTCGTTTTGAGAGTGGTTTGTCTTATCTGCCAGATCAATGTGGTTAATTAGATTGTTGATTTCGTCTACAGCTTGTTTTACCATAGATTTTTTTTTAAAAAAAACCTTTTATTGGGGGCTCTTATATCTCCTATCACAATCCACACATTCCTCCAATGTGTCAAGCACATTTGCCGCCATCATCATCTTCAAAGCCTTCTCTTCCCACTTGAGTCCTGATATCAGCTCCCCATTTCTTTCCCTCCCTCACCCGCCCGCCCGCCCTCCCTCACGAACACTTGGTAAGTTATAGATTATTTTTCCCTATCTTACATCGTCCTCCGTCGCCCCTCACCCACTTTTATTTGTCCCCCAGGGAGGGGGTTGCAGGTTGATCCTTGGGATCCATTCCTCCTTTCTCCTCCCACCCTCTCCTAATGCTCCTGGTGTATCTATTGTCCCACATCTACTGCATGATGAAGCTTGGCTTAGACATTGACGAAGATGAGGTGAAGGCCAAGGCTCCCAGGGCTGCTGTTCCTAATGAGATTCCGCACCGAGAGGCTGCTGAAGACATAGCTTGCACGGAGGAAGTAGATTAGCTATTCTGCTCGCACACTTTGTGCCCTCTGTACAGTGTCCACCTGGCTCCACCTGCTGACCACTAGGGGTTTCCCCTCTCCTGTGCCTGTGCGTAAGGCAGGATCTAAGCCCCCCAGCCTTGTCCCCTCCCTTGTTTCAGAATGGGGTTAGATGTTGTGTATCTGTGAAGTTTCTTTATGTTTATTTTGTTCTGAAATTAAAGTATGCAAAATAAAGAAGATGCAATTTTATACCAAAAACAAAACAAAACAAAACAAAAAAAAGATAAGAGAATAAAGCTTGGATGAACTAAACATACGTATCTCAAAACATACCTTAATAAGCTAACACAAAAATAAAAAAAAACATATATATGTTTTTTAAAGCTGCTTAATAAGTTTTAAAACATACTGAATAAACATTAAATACATTTCTCAAATAGTATAAAACTATACAATTTATTTCATTATCATGGGGAATATAAATGAAAGTATTAATGAAGATAGATATATGCATCTAACCAAAAAAGCCAAATTATTGTTATTGAGTCAATTCAGTAACTTTCCCAGTTTTTATTTAATAGAAAAATTTAAAACCATCGGATTTGTGGCCTTGGGTTATTAATTGATTGATTGGAATTGGGTTTGAAAGTACAATTTCTTTGGGAAAGAGATAAAAGAAGCAACTGTTAAGTTTATACTAACCATGAAAAACTACTGAAATGGAAAAATCTATCTACCAGCAACAACATCAAGTTAATGAAAAACACTATGGTTAAGACATTATGTTCAAATTAAAATAGCAATTTGTATTCTTGAATTCAAATAGACAATGACCAGTGTTCCCTATCATTTTAATAGAGGAGGCATTTCATCTTACCAGCTTATTATTATCAAAGCACACATCAGGGCCTTTTCGGTATCGAGGCTGCTTAACCATATCACAAGGGTTTGGACCGTCAGCTGAAAAGACTTGTTAAGGAGTATGAAGATATTTTCCCCACATAATAGAAAATATACAAGAAATGCGATATATCCACTTGAAAGCAATCACGAGACAGCTAGTTCAAGTACATAGGAATTTAGAGAACTGAAGTTCCTTGAGTTTTCCCTTGTCAGATTAGGAGGCATGTGCAGAGGTCATATCTTTTGAATCTTACTATACACAACAATGTACCTGCTGTGTACCTGGTACCTAGCAGGTACTCATCAATATGTGCAGACTCTAAGTGGGTGAAATGTACCAATGATGGAGAGTAATAGACAAGGACACCCATTAAAAACAGCACAGTGAAGATCTGAGTGCTTTTATTTAACAAACAGAAATGTAAACTAAATGCTAGCAGTACTGCCAATCCCAACCAAACACAGCTGAGGAAGTTCTTACCCAGCAAGAGCAACGATAAATACAATCCTACTGCCACTCTAGAGACAATCTGCTCCTGTTCTTTAATAGATACTGCATTGCCCTGGAGCACAGTTACTGTTGCAAGGCTAAGTTTTTAGCTTCAGTCATTGAAATTAGGGTCATAAGAAGTATATAAAGACTGAAGGGAGTGTTCAATAGCTAAAAAGTAATCCGCTTTTAAAAAAAAACACATTTTATTCTATTTACTTATTCAGTGTGACAGTAGTAGACAGGTAAGAATGGCACGCTTGGTTGTACCGTGGGCAGTGAGTGGGTTGTGCTGTGGCTGTGAGGACTGTGCTTTAAAGGACATTTTCATGTGCTTTGTTGAGGACAGAGCATATTAAGTTTGAAAGTGACATAACTTTGTTTGAGAACTGAAGGCAGCTTAGGGAATAAATCAAGAAAAGCTGCTTACAAATGCAAATGAAGTCACACAGAAAATAAACTGCCTTTAACCTAAAAACCAAAACAAACCCAACGGTACTTCATTTTTAATGCTCCTTCCATTCGTGGCCAATCACTCAAAGGTTGCTTTCATGCTAATTCCTAGAATCAAAGCCTTTATATGTAGCGATGTTATGATGTATTTTAAATATGTTGCAATTGAGATGGTTTTTCAAAATGTAAAACACAGAAATCAAAGCCAAATGAGAGTGGTAGCTGACTGATTCTAGCTCTCGTTTGTCTAGGAGAGCAGTCAACTGCCGGCCAAGGGCCAAACATTAGGTCTTGAATTCTGAGAGTATTTCTTATACATCCTTGCATTCAATAAATAATAAAGAGAGGAAATGAATTTTCGATGGTCACAAGCTAGTCCTCTGGTTTAAATACCTTTTCCTATGAAGTATCAAGTAATGGTTTATATCAAACATACATATGAATTTACATGATATATTATGTAAGATATATTTATTATACTTATAATTTTAAAAATGGAAACCTGAGAAAATCCTTCTTTCTTCAAAGATCATTAAATTACAGTTGGCATAGAAATGAAATGCCTGTATGAAATAAAAAGTGCTATCAGTTTAGTTGTATTTTCCTACATATTATCTCAATAATATCAAATCAGTAGGATATAGAAGCAAATAACACTAAATATAGTTTTCAAAAATCCTGTGGAATATAGAATATACCATATATATTCATGTATAAGCTGAGTTTTTCAGCACATTTTTAATGAAGTTTCTGTGGTAAAATTAGGTGCCTTGGCTGATATTTGGGTCGGCTTATACACAAGTATATATGGTACCCTTTCGTGGTTCAAGTCATATTCCCATTTCATCCACTGATAGGCGCTGTTTTTTTTGTTTTTTGTTTTTGCATTCCAGAGTGCTCTTCAAATAGCACGCTCATTAATCAAGCATTTGAATATAGAAAATACTAATAAATGCTCCCAGTTGTAATAATTATCTTATTGAATGGTATTAAAGTTTTCAACTTTGAAAAATGTGTCAGGATTAAAATTAAAATCAGGCAAACATTGCAGAACAATATTGAAGCGCTCGAAGGCATGGAGCAGTGGACTCTGTGTCATAATATCGGGCTCCATTTTTGATATTTGATGGTTGATGGCTTTCAAGCAACTACCCGATTTCCCTTTAGCCTCAATCAAGGCAGTATACGTCACCCACAACCTGGGATTCACTGGTGGGAATCCTTACCCAAGCGCCAGTCCCTAAACCGTAAGCCAGTGTGCCTCCAGGCGTTTTTCATCTGCTTTGGAGCCTTCTCAATGTTCCCGACCCCTTCATCATGCATTTTATACACTTTCTTATCTACTTGTTATACGATCTTCTCAGCTTTTACATCTCATTCAAAACTTGAATGGGGTGGTGGGGGAATTTCATTTCCTTTCTGCCAAGTGGTCACAATGCCCTGCATTATTTTTCTCTGTATGAGTATGGCCAAAGAGACAAGGACAATGCACGCGGCATCTGAAGAGGGCACCTCCCTTGCCAAAGGATACAAGTCTGCTCTGCTTGTACGAGCAGCCGCGTGTCGCAGAGACAGGTCCCTTTGCTCTCGACAATTATGAACACTAAATTGGTGTTCATGAGCTTTTCCACATGAAAGATTCTGCAAAATAATGATTAAAAGTCGATAAGGAATACACATTCCCTTTTAAAAAAATTTAAAACGTTGCAAGGATTTTTATTACACATTAAACTGAAGTCAAAATACGACATTGAAACACAAATGACTACCAAACAGCAGTGTCTGACTTCATAAGAAAAAGATTGCTATGTTTTATTAATATGCAAATACCTCCTCTTTTAGACATTTGCCAGAAATCACCAACAGAGCTTTATATGTTTGTTTTTAAGATGTTACTCCTCGTTATAAAATGTTAGTCTAAGTGGCAGATTACATTTCATTTTACATGTTTAAGAATCATTAACTTAGTATATAAATATTTGCCTTATTGTGCAGATCAAGAAAATAGGAGGACAAAATGGCCAAGCATCTTGCCCAAGCAAATGGAAGAATAGGGTCCAGCTCAATGCTCACCAATAAACTTTCTGTGACAACGGACATTTACTCTGTTCTAACCAGTCCAGCAATGTCTCGACCATTAGCTCTCGTTAACATTTCAAATATGGTAAGTGTGACATTTCTACACGATTCATTTTATTTGAAGTTTAAATAGCCCTTTGTGTGTTGGCTACCACCTTAGACAGTACAGGTGAAGACAGAAGGGAAATGTTTAAAACATTTTTAAAAGAACCTAAGTTGTTTCTGCCTCTTTTAGCCACCAACATAAAAATTTACATGTTATAAAATACTTCATAATAATCATGTTTCTGAAAGACGTATACTCTTTCTCGTCTATTCATTGAACCTGAGACACAAGCATAGAAGAAATCAGCGAAAACCCTGATCGTTACATTATAATTTAACCGAATCAGACTTTCAAGCCTACATTACTATTACAAGACATTGATTATTAAAAAAGGCAAAGAGCTTTGAAACTATTCCTAATATACTCACTAGGTGAACATCCATTTCTTAAAGTTGCTAGCCTGATGTAAATCTATAAATGAGACGGTCTACATTTTTTTGAGTTCATCCTAACTCAGCGCTTTCTCTCCTTTTCTTATATATTCCACTTTCTATCGTAGACTTACATCCGAATGAAACCCACTGTTATCAGTAGATTCTGACTCCTATAGTGATCCTATAAAGGGTTTCCAAAGTTTTAAATAGTTACAGCAGCAGACAGCCTCAACGTTCTCCCATGGGGCTGTTACTAGGTTTGAATTGCTGATCTTGCTGTTAATGGGAGACACAGAGGTTTGCTCAAGTAAGTCACAAAATCATGTGGACCATACATATTTCAATTCCGTGACTCTTTCAGTTAACCCATTCTTAAAGACCGATGAATTGCTATAAAGTTATTTTCTGAAGTCCCTAACCTTCCAGCCTTTCACATTCTTAGTCTCCCAGGAGAAGGGCGGGCACCGTGGCTGCCCTGGGGGCCTCGGCCGCTGGCACAGTCATGAGGGTGACGCAGGCCTGGCCGTGTTCCCCTCTGCTGTGCACAGGGTCGCAGCGGGTTGGAACGGACTCCACAGCATCTAACAACAACCTATTACCGTTTCTTCGGGAGTGACCGGTCCACTTTGGCTTTGCCTTACGCTTGAAGTGTCCAGACTTGGCACTGTAACCTGTGACTTTCTACCCTTTTCTCAGAGACCCTGTGGGACAGACGGTCACTTTCCGCTAAACACTTCAAAACGCCCCATTTTACTATATTTACGAAATTATGAAAACGTCCCATCTTATTATACTTATGAAACTATGAAAATTTCCAGATATTACAGAAGGCTTCCTTCTTAGACTGAAATTCTATTTTCCAGGCAGCATTCTAATCCAATAGTAGCCCCTGTGCCTATTCTACTGGCTCTCAGTGCCGTGGAATCTGATGAAAGATTCTACAGAAACAATTCTGTAAGGCATATTTAAAACTAAAAAAGGCAAAAACAAACCAAAAAGCAAAACTGAAAAGAACCCCCCCATCCCCCATCTATAAGCTACTTACTTATTCTAAACAGGACTCAGAGAACATGGTGTTTGATTCAAGTTTTACATTTTACAAAGATTGACCTTGATTGTACTAAGAAAATTTTGCGCCTACTTCCTCCACTTACATATCACTGATATTCAACACTGTCAGAGGTTAGAAATGAAAACAAACAAATATCCCACAAACGCAAATATCTCTTCTACGACTGGTCAGTTACTTGACATAGAACAGAATTAAATATTCTGTTTAGAATTAATACATAGTTCTGCAACTATCTACAACTAAAATGACATTTTAAACATGGATTCTTTTAAAAAATCATTTTATTGGGGGCTCATACAAAACATGGGTTCTTAAAAATCATTCAGATGTTATTAATTTGCTTCCTCTCCCCCACAACCCCACTATCATGATCCAAATTCTACCTTGCAGGTCTGGGTAGATCAGGGTGTGCACTGGTACAGATAGGAACTGGAAATCCAGGGAATCCAGGGCAGATGATCCCTACAGGACCAGTGGTGTGAGTGGAGATACTGGGAGGGTAGAGGGGGAGTGGGCTGGAAAGAGGGAACCGATTACAAGGAACTATATGTGACCTCCTCCCTGGGGGACGGACAACAGAAAAGTGGGTGAAGGGAGACATCGGACAGGCCAAGATATGACAAAATAATAATTTATAAATTATCAAGGGCTCATGAGGGAGGGGGGAGTGGGAAGGGAGGGGAAAAACGAGGACCTGATGCCAGGGGCTTAAGTGGAGAGCAAATGTTTTGAGAATGATGAGGGCAAAGAATGTACAAATGTGCTTCACACAATTGATGTGTGTATGGATTGTGATAAGAGTTGTATGAGCCCCTAATAAAACGATGAAAAAAAAGGATGTTATTAATTTTCTGTGCCCTATGTAAGAGTGAAACCAAATGTTCTGATCATTTGATTCTTATGATGGGTAAAACAATTAGAACTCAACAAAGGTAGAAATATTATTAAAATCTCTACACTTAAGTCCATAATTTTAATAGCCTACACAGAAAGTGAAGATCATGGACATTTTCAAGTTAGAACTAGTCATATGAACACGTCTTAGCTGATAGTCACACTCCATTATTTTCTGCAGCACTTCTGCAAGTGAATACATTTTCTTAGTGGAACACTACTGCGCTTGTTAAAACCCATCAGTTGATTCTGACTCTTGCAGGCTACACAGCTGTCCCGCAGGGTCCCAGGGCTGCAGTCTCGGCACAAGGAGACTACCATGTCTTCTTCCTGAAGGGTGCTGCTGGTGGGTTCCACCTGGGAGCCTTTCAGCTAGCATCCCACTGTTTCACCACTGTGCCACCAGGGTTCCTGAGTATTACACCCCAAATGGAAACCAAGCAAAACAAATTACCTGGAACAGTTTCCACAGTCTAACACGCCGCTGAATGTTTTACTGTCATTATCGAAGAAGTACTGGGTTTGTTCAGTAATGCAGCTCTGCTTTGACAGGGACGTCGTGAAGTCCTCATCCTCCATCTCAACTGTGCAGAGGCAGAAGAAGAAGAAGACAAGAACGCCCACCACGATGGAGACATTGTGGTCAGTGCCTCAGAGCCTTCATTTCTCCCCAGAGAAGAAATAAACAAGGCCAGGAGGCTTGACTGGCTGAGGGACTGCCCTCCAGCTTAGTGGCCACTCTTCCTCCAGTGAAGGTAACTAATGTAAATCCGTAACAGCTGGAAGGCAGAGCTAGTGTGAGCACGATGTGTTTTCTAAAGCCTTATGAAAGTTTGTCACAATTATAGTAACCTACAAAAGTGGCAAATGGATATTTCTTTCTTTCAGACATAAGCACATGCATATGTACACACACAGAGAAACCTACCGTTTCTGCCTTCGTTCATGAAATACAATATATCCAACAAGAAAGCATTCATTTTGTTTTGCGAACATCTCAACATCAACCTACCTGCCTCTAGGAATCGTGGGAAGGTCAAACTTAAGAGAAGTTGCTGCAGAATAGACCTGGATTTAAAACAGATATGTGTTTAAAATATTTAAAAACATCTAGATTATTTTCATTTATAAATTTTATAATAAAAACTTGAGCATTGTTGTATGAAACTGCTAAGGTTAATCTGCATGTACGTAAGCATGCATGTTTTTTTATCTCTCTGAGAAGTGGGGAGTTTTTCAGTTGAATTCTACAAAGCACAGTGACATTTTTATCTGCAAAAGAAGCCACGAAGCCACACACATTGAAAATAAACTCAGGGACACGTATTTGCGAAGAGGAGTAATGGAAATAAGACATTGTGGATGTGAAATAACTGCAAGAAGGACAACACCAATATTCCACATTGAGGGTGTTCCCTTATTTTTGGTTTGAAACTGGAGTGGCAAACACAGCAACAGGAACTAATGAGTTCACCTTGCTGTTGCATGGGTTTGTGAGATAATTTTAACAGAATATGATTTGTGATGACATAATATGACATTCATGGCATAGATGCATTATCTACAGAGCACGGGGAACATTTCATAAGCAATAATTGATGCAAATATTTTCACAGAACTGCTTGGAATTGAATTTAGTTACAAATAACATATATGTACACACACAAAGTTTTGTGGGGTGGATTATGGCCAGAAAATAACTTAAAGATTATTAAGAATATTCATGATCACTGTGAAATTTAGAAAATCTACATATATATATGTCTAGATACCTTTGTCAAACCAGATAAAACCATTTTCAATTTTTAATAAGAAGATTTGATCTTTTAATCTAAAACCAGGACTATTCTTTCCTACTTTAATAAAATGGCATACTGATTGAATAGGATCTGGGAAAAGAGCAACACTAAATGAACACTGTAGATTCGTCTAAATCGATTAAAACTTTGATAATGAAATGACGAGGAAGAAATAAGGAAGAAAGACAAAAGAGAGGCAATGGATCAAAGACATAAGGGGAATTCTAACAATTTGACTAACTAGAATAAAACAATTAGAAATGTTATTTTCCAGACTTCTAACAGTATCTCAATAAAGAGTTTATTTTGTTAGCATATAAGTGAAAACTGAGCTTCTAAGACAGGTGGAAGGTAGCAGTAGATCCATTTCAGTAACATGATGCTTCTAAAACGAGCAGCCTTTGTATTAACAATAAAATCAGCGAGTGTGTGAATTTGTTCAATGAAGGTATCTAACTCAAGTATTAAAAATAGTTAATAGTAACAGAACTTAAATTGGATTTATGTGAAATTTGCAGAGCAAATTAGTTTTCCAGGTAATAATTTATACATATTTTGTTTCATGCCATTGACTGTAATACCCGTAATGGAATTCATTCCCCCTTCCTCTCTGTGTTTCTCATTCACACTTGCCCTTCTTTATCGATCATTCCTGCCTTCTGAACTTTTGGGTGAATATTGACCTTTTCATTTCAAATGGTTGACTGCAGCAGGCAGTGGTGTATCTGACTAGAAGTTCAGCAATGGCGGAAGGTCAATAGTGGGCTTGAAGGGTGACGAAGGGCCAGTCTCAGGGACTCCACCATCTTCAAGGCAACCAGTAAGCCTGGTCTTTTATATGATTTTGAGAACTGTCTCACATTTTCAACCCACTCTATCTAGAACCATCGAATATGGTTCCTTTCAAAGTGGTCAATACTAATAGTCAGGCACCGTCTAGTTTTTCTGGAGGTTGAGGTTCATGTGACCCATAAGTCCTCTGGACTAAATGTTTCCATGTGGTATTTAGTTTCTTCATAGAGAGAGACCAGAAGCTGCACCTTGGGGGGCCGCTTACTGGATGAAAGACCCCAGCGTCTACTCGCCAAAGTAGAATGCAGACGGTGTGTGTGTGTGTTGTGGCCTGTGTTGTATTAATTTACCTGTATGCCCCTGAGGCTAGTCTTTCTCCTGCAGTTCTAGTATATTATTATAAATCAATATACCTAAACACTGTGGACCTGCATATAATATAAATGACAAATAATTCAAAAACAGTTTACACAGATCCATAGAAAAATGAAATAATATGTAAGCCTAATATTGTTTTTAGATAACAATGGAATAATTATAGGAAGTTCTAAGGAGCCCTGATTGAACAATGGTTAAGTGCTATGTTGCTGTTCAAAATGCTAGTGGTTACAACCCGCCCAGAGGCTTTAAAGAAGAAAGAGGTAACCATTGGCGCCTGTGAAGCTTACAGCAACCCTGTGGGGCAGTTCTCTTGTGTCACATGGATTTGCTATTTGAAATTGACTTATTGATACCGAATGATAACATCACAAGTTTTAAAAAGATCATTTAAGAAAAAATATGAATATTACCATTATGTGGCTTATTAAATAGAAGTTCCTCCAAATGATACTTGAGATGTCATATACGCCATGGTTTCATTGAATTCTTCATTATTTCCTACCAGTACTTCATATTATTACCACTATAACTAAAATTTTAACTTACCAGGCAGCAGCAGTAGCCCACCAGCCAATGTGCAATATGTCTGCTATTGATGGCTATAAAAACATAATAATAAAGAAGTGACTATATAAGGAATGGCCCTTGGAGAGGAGCTGGACGGCTTGAGAGTGGATATTACTGACCACATATGCTGAGCGATGCCCTGCTCCTTGCTTTGGTGCAGCACCGGGCTCGCACACCGACTGATAGTCGTAAGATTTGTTAAAAGCATAAAGTGATATATTAACAAGGTGCCTCATCAAGCTTGGATCAATCTCTCCAAAAAATCTTCCAATCTGTTACAGAAACAAAAAAAACACATTTAAGCTCAACAGGAATACCTAAACTAGTACAATGAAAAGAAATACCAAAGAAGAATTAAATTAAGGTGTTTAAAAACAAAAGCAAATTTAAAAAAAACCCTATGTATGACAATGTGACAAAAGTGAACTGAGATTAGTCATTTCCATTACTTGTCCCTGCCTGGTATTTGTGGAAGGAATGGAAAGACGAGTATGCATGAAAGTCGCACTCAAACGTCTCCCCTGGCAGAGAAAAGTAACATGGAGGAAAGCAGTGGATGGCACTAGAGTAGTAAACAAACATGTGGGGAGTGTGATGAACTGAAGTGAGACTCATTCAAAGGAACAACCCCCAATCAGCTCTGCACCATAAAAAACTACTATTCAGGAAAAGACACTCCAGTACTTGGAGATCTTTTTCTTCTTCTTCTTTTCCCCTAAAGGGAGGACAGGGACATAAATCCAAATATTAATTTAGATGGCAAGTATTTAATATGCCAAAGGCTGTCATGACTTCATGGTAGAATTCTATTTTCCATGGAAACCAGGGTTTGAATCTTGGGTAATGGCACCTGAAGCACAGCCTGCTGTCAGTACAGCCATTCCCATGAATGGATCTGCCTGTACAGGCATCAGGTTCATGCTGTGCAGCTGTCGGGGAGCTCCCAGATTCACACGGACTAGGGAGAAAGAACTAGTTAGAAGTGCTCTACCTCCAAATCTAAACCAGGGAAAACCCTCTTGATCACAACAGCATGATCCTGGGAATTGGGGGCCAATGTGACATGGGCAAACTGCAGCAGTCAAATTTATTTAAAGTCCCATGTCAATCAAATCGCCTATGTGTTCCCATTTTGGGAATTTGGGATTATGTTTTCAACAGGGTCAAAGCAGCCGTATTAATTGTCTGATAATTATTTATCTCAATGTGAAAAATTTCTGAATTGGGGTTAGATAGAGGCAAAAAGTTATGTCATAAGAATGTACCCTACTCTATGTTTTAAAAGCAACCGTTAGTACCAAGAAGTAAAATCAGCTAATAAACATTGATTCATGTTAGCATATAATTCATAACAGTACACACTGAATTAGGATCTTTAAAATTTACATTATAATAGACTAAAACTTTATCTGTATCTATAATGGTTAGAAAAGCTTTTTTAGCGTGTGTGGGGGGCATGATTTTAATCAGGGAAACACACTTTGGGAATTCTCCTCAGCTCCTATTTTAGGGACATACCTGGTTTGTATAATCATCATGATTTGCCATCAATAGAAACCCACCATCATCTAGAATCACACAATCCATTACCTAACAAAATAAAAATAGCAATTAGCATACTTGTAGAAAATTGTAAGGTCACATGACCTTACATAATACATAATACATAAAAGGTTTGAGCAACAAAAATAGGGGAAAAATCCAAATAATTATGTGCATTTTTTCCAAAATGCTCAGATTTGTAATCCAAAGTATGCTGCAAACCCAGGGCATGAGACTCCACCAGAATCCATCCAGGAAAGACCATCACTCAGTCTGGACAAACGAGAAATGATCTTTTCGCCACTCCACCATCATCGGATTGATCCAGGAAACTGCACTAGTTACATTATTTAATGACATATATTCTATTATTACTATTATTGCTTTTATTTCCCTCTTACTATATATAAATTCAACATTTTTAAAAGAATGACACTTCTGAAAATAAAGATTAGCCACTAAGATTCACAGACAAAAATAAATAGAAGTATAAAGCTATTTGCTATTATGAGAATTACATTACTATTTAATGTTTTATTATAATGCATGGTTCAATTTATAGAGATTAAAGATTAAATCATAAGAAAAAAATACACATGGTGGGAAATATTTTCCTTTCTTCTTGACATATAGGATAAATAAATCTTCCAATTATGTTTACATGCGTGAATGAATGGAATATTTCTGTTGAATGAAATTATAATCAAAAACCAAACTCCAAACTCCTTGCTATCAAGTCAATGCTGACTCATAGCGAGTCCCTGTGGGTTTCTGAGACTGTACCTGTTTCCCGGCGTAGAAACGGGAGTAGAAAGCTCAGTCTTTCTCCCGTGGAGCAACTGAGTGTGTCGAACTGCCGACCGTGAGGATCGCAGCCCAACACATAAGCACTGTACCACCCGGACTCCTTGTTACATACAAAGGAGCTTTAAAATGTTTATGGGCAAAATTCCATTACCTTTATTCAGATTTCAGTAGATAGTACATTGAATTTTCCTAATGTGGAAGCAGCTTGATAAAATCTGTAGTAAAAACTGGTTACTGTACAGCCTTTATAAAGTGGAAACGTTGTAAAAATAATTACAATAATTGATTTAGAATGTCTCTGAGAGAGGGATGGGAGAAACCCTTGCTTTCCTGGACATAATATTGAAGGACACACATAAGAAATTAGAGTAGTGGAATTCATGATTTTGAACATCTTCAACTTTGGAAGAGCCTATTTCAATACCTCAAACAGAACTAGAAGAAATAGAGGTCCCTATAAACCCAAGATTTATATACAAGTAAATTTTATAGTCAACTGATTACAGAATTCGGGACAAAATATCACTACAATGAAATATGAACAGACTCAGAGAAAATGCTAAGAACATTTATGTACGCATTGGTAAATAGTGACATTTTGGTAATAAATTGCTCATCAAAAATAAAGTTAGAAGTATATGAAAAAAAATCTACCTAAATGTAGATGAGGACAATGTTGTGCATGTTGACACAGTTTTAAAAATACCTTCTCACAAAATAAGAATATTTTAAATATAAAAAAATGTTTAAAAATGAAAAAATTAAGGTTAGGAATTGAAAACATATTATTTAAATTCTATCCTGATAAGTTCCCAATCCCAAAGAATGTTTTGGCATTTTATTATAAATGACTGCATCTTTAAAAAAACATTAGATATTAACAGCTAACACCAAAATATATAATTAAAGAAATTAATTTTTTAAAGTTTTCTTACATCACTGTTTCTTTTGCAATCACAAACTGGACCAGCACACTGAAAGACAGAAACACAATGATCACTTACATATTTTAAAGAATTTTAACTGAATTATATAATTAATATATTATAGCTAGAAACATTGGCAATAATTTATCCAATATGACAATAAGAATAAATGATAACCCATTCCTGTAGGGAAAAGGATAAACGTTTTAACTTTAATATTAGGAAAGGTCAATCAATAGCTAGCATCTCCAATTACGGCATGGAAATATATATTTTAAATATTCAATCAAATTAAATGTCAATTAAAATAAAAATATGAATTTATAATTCTCAATAGAGTAGCACTGAAAATTATTTAAGCTATGTAAAGATATGACTGTATGTTTTCCTTATATGCATTTTTTAAGGCTGTTATGGTTTGTATAAGAATTATAAAAAATGAAATTTCTTACCGGATCCCTAATTGAAGCTTTCGTAAAATTCTCTATCCAGGAGTTTACATCAATTTTAATCCCAACAACTGAAAAATTATATTAACAAAATTAACATATGTATTAATAGAGCCTATGCATCTTACCAATCAGTCTTTCCCCTATCATTTAAAAAATTCTGAGTTTCTTGAGATGATATGAATGAGTATTTTAATTATAGCCATGTATTGAAAGGTTGATTTTAATTTAAAGTCTGTAATTAGCTGCTGTATGATTTTGCCATGTAATTTAGCTAATTTATGTAACAGCCTATAAATAAATTTAGAATGAGCTATATGTTTACCACAAAAATATATTTATTTGGAGTCTTCTTTAAGAAGTAATGTTAATAGCTCTTAAACTATAACATAAACCTTAATTTATATTTTAAAATGTTTTACTTCACAAGACTTGCCCAATTAACTATATAGTGAATCAACCAAAATGAATACCTAATAAATTAGAGTCATTTGAGTAGCATGTCATAGAGTAGCTGGCCTGATCTTACTGCAGTGAATGTGTAATGCTTGTTGAGGCAATACATGGGTAAATGGATGCCAGTCGGAGAATGAGTGAGCGTCTGAAATATGATTGGTTGAGTAAATGAGTAATTAAGACAATGGAGGATAAAAATTCCTGAACTATAGCCTAAAATCTACCTGTTTGTTTTGGGGGTGGTATGGAAACATTGGTCTAAAGCAGCCATAGCCCCGTCTACCCTGAGATCAGAAGGACTGCTGGTGCCCGGCTACCAGTTCTGACCGTTCTTACAATGGACACAAGCAATGGTCCCAGATATGATGGGGGAAAAATGTGGAACAAAACTCAAATTCGTATACCTGGCCAGACTTTCTGGATGGGGTGATGGTAGATACGGGACCCTTTGAGGCCAGCAGTGCCCTGAGACTCACTCTGGGATACCCTTTAAGCCTTGAACTGAAATACATTCGGAGGGCCCCCTTTCAGCTAAATAACAGACTGATGTATCATATAAACCATACTGATGTCATAGTTGAAGGTTGGTGACTCGAACCCTCCTGACGCGGTGTGAGGGAAAGGCGTGGCAGCCGCTTCCTCGGGTGACATGCACGGAAACCCTCTGAGGTAGTTTCACTCTGACCTATGAGCAGGATGAGTTGGGATCTATTTGATGGCAGTAAATTTGGTTTGGATCGTTCTCCTTAAAAAAAAATCTATCTGAGATTACAGTGAACAGTTATCCTAATGCCAAGAAGAAACGGCAAGAAAAAGCCACAGTAATGGAAATGGACAAGAATAGACGCGAGAAAGATGGCACCTTATGTCACCAATGTCACTAAACAGTATGTATGGGAACTACTGAATGAGACACTAATGTGGTGTGTACATTTTCACCAGAAATATATTTTTATTAGTATAAAAAGGAAGGAAGTGGATGAATGGGTACTGAGTGAGAGGATGATTTTTTAAAAATCATTTTATTGGAGGCTCGTACAACTCTTATCGCAATCCTATATACATCCATTGCATCAAGCACATTTGTACATTTGTTGTCCCCATCATTCTCAAAACATTTGCTTTTCACGTGGGCTCTGGGAATCAGCTCCTCATTTTTCCCCTCCCTCCCCGCTCCCCCCAGGATGGGAAACACAGGACAGATGAACCCCTCAGGACCAGTGGTGAGAGTGGCGATACTGGGAGGGTGGTGGGAAGGTGGGGTAGAAAGGGGGAACCGATTACAAGGATCTATATTAACCTCCTCCCTGGGGGACAGACAACAGTAAAGTGGGTGAAGGGAGACGCCGGGTAGTGTAAGATATGAAAATGAATTTAAATAATGGGACCACTGATGGGGTAAAAATGCTCTTGGGAGCAGGTAAGCTATCTTCTCCATCTGGCCTCTCTTAAATTCAAAGGGTATAAAATCTCTCACTCTCTCTCACACACACACACAGACACAGAACAATTATATCCTTTACCCATCACTGTAGTATACGTTCAACCCCCCAAAATTCAGATTTAGGGTACCTGCTCTAAGGGAAGGATTTCTCTGTTAGCTCTGATGGGAGGTCCGTGTCTGCTTTCAGTATCTATGGACCTCATATCCCTTGGATACTTGTCTCTTGGAATAAACTGTCCTTTGGATCTAAAAGGTTCTCAGCATGGAGCCCTGGGTCCAAAAGACATACTCGTGACTCTTCGTTCCTGGTGGTACAATGGGTCCTCCTCTAAGCTTCCTTCACTTCTTGCGGGACTGAACGTGACAGCGCCCACGCTCCAGGGAAACACTCTACGTTGGATCAAGGCTGTGACCTGAGAGAGGAGGCTGCAGCCCAGCTACCCTGCCTCATTACCTGGACAAACAGAATCTAGTGCTCTTTCACACAACCCACACTTGCCTCAATAACCATTGGCAGAGATTAGGATTGACAACATAGAGTGAAATTGTATCAAGTCACAAATTGGAGGAAATCACCTAATACTCGAAATAGTAGACTAGCCAAACACACAGACACACACACACTGCGGGGACGGGGGGGTGGGTGGGGGAGGGGCATGAAATCAAATAGATGATCGTCTACCCTCTGGCCTCACGAAATCCATGTCCTTGGCACACGCAAAATACTTTCTCCTCAACCTATCAACCCCAAAGTCTTAAATCAACTCTAAATCCATCCTGGAGCAACATTCCACTTCATCTGTGAACCTGTGAAAGCTAGAATACAAGTTATCTGCTTCCGTAGTACAACGGTGAAATAGGTACAAGGTAGACAAATGGGAGAAACTGGACGGCACGAGGGAATAACAATCACCAAAAAATACACAAATGACAAGCAGACCTAGCAAGACCATGTACACTAGCTTTCTCGTTTTGAAAAGAATCCTCGGGTTCTCGGAGCTGATCTAAACAGGGGCCCTAGATGCTGGGTTTTGGCCTCACTCTCTGGATTCTGAGTGGGGATCTCTTGGTCTTGGACTTCAGCTCTGCCTTCTAGGCCCACCGGAATGGCAGGCCCCCTTCTCTGGCCCTGGGGTAGCATAGCTCAAAGTCCCCAGCTCTGGGAAGCAGACAGCTGTAGCCTCCGGAGTTCGTGAAGGGCAGCCGCATGTTCTGGAATCGAGTGGGTGGGAATCTGACTCGGAACCCAGGAGACCACTCTGAGCCAGCACGGCGTAGTCCTTGCCTATTTCAGGTTCTGCTTCCTAGTTCGGGGCCTTTAGTCCTTCAGGAAAGAGTTACTATTGTTAAGCACCCGACTCTACTAGTAAGCATTGGGCAGAAGAGGACCACCTCTTTCCGTCGGTGGGTTGGTAAGCCTAGCTTGGTGGAAAAGTGCCAGTAAACACCTGACTCCACCAGAAAAGTTCTTGTCCCGAGGCACTTCCGCTCTGTCAATCCTTGGGTCATCTCTGTGCCGTTTCATGTCGGTCTCTTGTGTCTGCTTCTAGGTCTTACTCATTGTCTGCACCCTCTCAGTATCACAGTTCTCCCTTCCTTCGGAACGCTCACCAGAACTGCCTTTGATGTCCAAAAGCCCACCAACAGCCTGTTGAAGATAACCCAGGCTTTTATTAATCGAAACCCGAACCAAACTCACTGCCTTCAAGTCACTTCTGAGTCAGAGTGAGGTCTACAGGGCTTCTGAGGATGCTCACAGTTATGGGAACAGCTAGCCTCATCTTTGTTTTGAGCTGCTGGGTTTGAACCCCTGACCTTGGACACCAGTCCAAGGGCTTTCACTATTAGCTATCTTGGACCTCTTCCAGCCACTCGGTCCATTATCCTAGTCCCGAACCGTTTCTATATTGTAGCAATCTGCAGCAACACCCCATTCCCAGGTCGATGGGTGTCCAAAGGACAAGCCACTCAGCCATAAACCGGAGCCCAAAGGTGCCTGGGTCCAGCTTCTTAGGTCAGCAAACCTAGCTTCTCTGATTAAGTTCCTACAGGCACCTAACTCTTAAATAAGCCTTCCGCCCTAAGACACTCAGCTTTCTCTCACAGGAAGCTGAGAAGCCCACTGTTTTCTCTTGTATGTTCCTGGAGCGGTCCTGTTTCTCCAGTGTCACCGCTATGTCTCTTGGATCAAGAATGTTCAGCAGAGAGGGATCTCAGGTTCTGAAAGATGCACTTCATTAATGACTATGCTTGCTTGACGCTAGTAAAATCCTTTGCCTTCTGCTTCTGAAATGGCTCACTTTAAACACAGCAAGCTGGAAAATTTGGCCAATCCCCACGTGAAAGTTTTTATTATCACAATTAACCTTATCAATAATGACTCACAACTGAGTCACACATCCTGTCAACACCACTCCCCAGCTCCCACCCGCAGCACCAATTTTCTTTTAGTCAATGCATCAGAACGAGGGGGAATACATCCAATCTCAATAGTCTCATCCAGTTTCTCAGGTGTTAAAAAACACTGGGTAGAAAGCCACATTGAGTAATTCACAGTACCGTGCACACATGGGCACACACACACACACACACACACACACACACACACAGAAAGTAACAAAGAACTGCTACAACATATAAAGGCGTGACTGGACTCTCCTCCATCGAGACAGCGATACTTCTGCAGGTTAGGTTTTCATCTCGCTAACCCTTCCCTAAAGAATGCCGTCCGTTTCATTGACACCGTGTCAAAAGGGCCAGGTCAGCATCCTTGGGGGCTCCAAGTCTGTTCTTTTTCAATGTGCTTTCCAGTTTTTGGGGGGTAATAAAAAGGGTCGTCAGGACTGTGGTCTGAATAGAAATCGTAACAGATTCCTCATAGAATAACATTTGCTACTCTCGAAGAATGCACAGGTACATTATCATGTGAAAAAAAAATCTTCAGTGGTCATTTTCTGTTTTTTTCCTCAACAATACAGCTTTTGATTTCCTTAAAAGTTGTTCCTAATAAACATCTTGTGCTGTGTCGTGTGAGAAAATTGAACAATCAGTTTGAAATCTAAATAAACAGTCACTATAACCTACTAAGTAAGCCTCTTTGCCTTGAATTTAACAGGTCCGACAGATCCCTTCAGGAGCCATTGCTGAGACTGGACTTTATTTTTTGAAGGGACGCTGACGAGACAAGCAATATGAGGCCGGTATTACTGAGAGACGTTGAGGTATCTGGAGTCATCCATTGATCACAGAGTTATACTTAAACACAATATTTTTCTGAAACAACTGTGTATATATGAACCTTAGTAGCTATACTTTTTGACACGCTCATATGGGTGTGTATATGTATATGCACATATACAGATATACATTTATATGGAAAGAGATATGTATCTCCAGGATAGAGCTCACAAGGTTGTAGAGGCTTGTGATCCTATGTTAAGGTGTTGGGCATCACACTGCAGACTTCTCCTGACTCATGTAACTGCAGGGCTAACAAACCCGAGATCATTAGGTGAGACTGAAGGCCAATGGATCCCACGAGTGTAGGATTAACAGGTAAGATAGTAGACTTCCGGCTCACAGGCTGCTGAGGTTGATGGATCGAGGATAGGGAGGTAAGATGGTAGGTTCCTGGGTCACAAGATGAAGAGGCCAAAGAATCCCAAGGACTGAAGGAAGGCCTGATGTTAATGAGCCAGATGCAGGTTACAGAGCAAAACCAGAGCCTTGCTGGAATATTCATTTATGCACAGGAGGCCACCCACAACCCCAAGGAAATGCCTTTTCTCCTCATTGGCTCTTCATAGCAAATCTCACCATGGAGGTGCTTATATTAGGTCTCATCATGAATATGGTTATATATTAGATAATAAAATAGGAAATGGCAAATCATTATAGAATTGCCAAAACACACCATGAAATAACTGTCAAACTGCATCATCGCTGCTAAGCCTCTGAGATTCAGGACACAATCAAGTTGACACCTACCTAATTGTTTTTAACAAGTGTATAGGAGTTTACAGTATACCCATCTACTACTGTCAGGGAGATATGGATTCATGTGACCCTATAGAATTTTCTCTAGGATTTCCCAGTCTGCAAAATTTTAAGGCAGCAGAAATACTCCTCTTTCTCCCAAGGAGCAACTGCTAGGTTTGAACCAACAACATTGTGGTTAGTAGTCTAATGCTTAACCCATTATGCCATCATGGATATGCCATCCAACCAATAAAGCAAACAACTGTCCTTGGGTCAATTTAACCCATAATGACCATATGGAGGTTTTCTAAGACTGTAAATCATTACAGTATCTGAAAGCCTCATCTTCTTTCCCCATGTAGTGGGTGGTGGGCTTGAACTGTTGAGCTTGTAAGGCCTATCCTATAGTACCACTACCATCAAACTGACTTTGACTCATCGTGAGCCTTAAAGGCTTTCTGAGTTTGTATATCTTTATAGGAGAGCCCCATCTCCTATGGAGTGGCTGATGCGTTTGAATTGCCAACTGTGCCATTAGTATTAACAGGTACCACATATTATCAGGTGTCCTTTAATCTATAGTATAGGTATGCCATAATTTATAAGTTTCATCCCAATAATGTAAATTTAACTTTTCATGTTTAAATTATTACAAGTATGTCCATCTTTGGCTATATATTTTTGTGTGTACATGAAAGCATCTTGTGATTAGATCTTAAAAGCAACTGACATATGGATGAACAGTATTGAAAATTTTGATATATGACCCTAAACTAACTCCAGTCATTTAGTCAAGAGGGTATAAAAGTACCCACACTTACTGAAAAATTTCCAAATATATATATTATTGATCTGATTCTATGGAGGCTTTCATACATAACTGTGTTTCATTATTTTTAAAATGTATGTGCCTTTGATGACCTGACTTACAAGTGATATATCAGTTTATAATGTAAATGTTATCACCTTTAATTCTGGACACAATGTATACTTGTATGTATGTGCATGTGAGTATATGTGCATGCACACAGGGGCTGGCATGCTCATACAGGTTCCTATACATGTATAATATGCATGCTTACATGTATAATATGCATGCTTACCTGCAGGTTTAAGAAGTTTTCCTTGGATATATATTTCTACTGCCTTGCTTACCATAATGCCTGATTCATAGGCACCAGGCCCACTTTCTAAGAAAGAAAATAAAAAGGAAAAGAGATATCTATATAAATCAAATCATAACATTGAATTTCCTTAATAGTTATAGGTCAATAAGCCCATAACAAGTGCTTTGTTTACAGATTCTGGTGGCTATATTCTATAAAGAGATTTGTGGTTTCTTCTTTCTTTCTTCTTGCCCTGAACACTAGGCTAATAAGTGTGCATGAATTAGTCTATATAATTGATTTGGGGCCCTGAATTACTCCGCTTGTCTACCACTACTTATACACTCTAATGGATGCAGGCCAAGGCTGTGCTCCATGACATTTACTACATTGCTGGGGAGACTGCTGGTGAAGTGGAGAGATTGATCTTGGATTCACAGCTGACTCTGCTTGCTATTTATCTATGAGATGTTTCCTGGGGAAAGCTCTGACCTGCTCTCCACGTGAGTTTTTCCACTTGAGAAAATAGAGATGAGTAATATCTACCCCAGAGATGTTAGAGGATTATAATCTTTGGGGGAAGAATCACAATAAAATATTTTAAAGTCTGAGCTATTATTAGTGTAAAAATTACTTTATTAAATAATTAATACCATAAAAGGTAATTAATCAACTTACTCCATTTAATTCATTAATCATTTAATATATTTTTTGTTCATGAAATCAGGGATTTTCTACCTGTGTTTCTTTCGATTACTAATAGCTGCTACTTATAACTTTAATTACACACTATCTCTCCATGACCGGAGGGCAGTTTCCTGCGTACGCATTTTACATCCTGAGTGACATGGAGGATTGACTGTCCTTTCCCATGCTTATCTGTGCCATCCTGCAGATGCTCAGTAATGACTATTATGGCAAGTTGATATTAAGTATCGCTATTTCTGAGATAGCAGGTAGTTGCAATAATTTTAGTTTTTGAGAACATGAGAGGGTTGGATTGCAAAGCAATACTCACTGTTAAAGTGGGGAGCAGTGAAGACATAGTTATCATTATCCAGACTTCTCTTATAGAAGCTGTCCTCATATGTCTCCGGGTTTTCTTGCCAATTTTCTCCAGCCCTAAGTGGGAAAACAGTTCATGGTTTGTGTTTATATCCGTTCTGTGACCTGATGACCTGCTTCTCTCACTGCGGACATCACTGAATTTTAGAGAGACCCACATCTTATGTCTATGAGGAGGTAAGGATTTTAGTGCTAAGAGGTGGCATAACTAATGCTGTTTATTAGGCAGTATATCAGTAGATCATTATTATTACAGATCAGAAAAAGTTTACTCCTAGTTTTAGCTGAGCAAAGTACGATCTTGGTTACCATGAGCAAGTTAACAAATAGGACAATTAATATTAATTAGCTTGTTGCCTACCAAACCCAATTCACACCATTCTGAAGATAAACAGAGAGCATTCAAGAACTGTGAAAACGATTAAGCCACTACATAAAAATAATAGGTTATACATTATGTTCATTTAACTTAGTATAGCCTGCACCCACAAAAAAAGTAATCGTACCATCTTTCACATTTTATAATAAATATCAGACATGCAAAGATATACTTGAGGAACCCTATAGTACTGTCCTGCAGCTAAATGTGGTATTTTAATAACAAAGTACTTTAAACAATGACTCCAACCTACTAATTATGATGAATTCATGTGAAAAGGGGCTCCCTTAGACATTAACAAACTGATCCTTCGAAGTGTCTTTTGAAATGTACTGCTTTTTACAGATATTATTTGAACTTACTCTTTGGGATACACTCTGGTAATCCCACCATCAGTCACAACAAATCGCGCTTTCACTCCCTTGCTGAAACAGAAGGGGAAAAAAATGTATGTGCTTTAAAATTCAATTTATTTCGTATAAAATATGAAGTTAGGATTTTTTTTATACAGAGAGAAAAAAAATGAGTCCCTAATCTCCAGGAGGCAAAGAAAGTAAATGAGAGCATGTCAGAAAGAATTACTATAAAATCATAGAAACCTTTATGAAATAAAAATGGCAGCATGCGAAACTATTGTCTCTTTACATATCCCCCATCTACGTCGATCCATTTCTGAGGGGAGTGTTTTAGAATCCTGACATCTTTGACTTTATCACATGAAAATGACTTTGGGGCTGAAGGGGTTGAAATGATGTTTCTTTTCAATATTGAGGGCTGGCAACAAAAAGAAGTCTGAAGTGGTTAAATCAAGGCGGTAAAGTGGATGGGATTAGGTTTTCCAGAGAAATTCTCATAGAAAAGTCGTTGCCACCTTGGAAGACTGACCAGGTGCTTTGTTGCGATAGAAAAAAAAAAATTCCTCGGTGCGACTATGTAATCACGCTGACGTGCATGCACTGTACAAAGTTAAGTAATCCCAGATGTTGGTACTGATACACACAGCAAAAAACAGAACTGAATATGTGTGCTTTCATGAGAAAGAAAATAGTAAGCTTTAAATTTATGGGAACTATTTCAAACAATTTACCAAAAAGACACAAACTTGATACATAAGTATTTTTATTAATAAGGAACATACACTTACATGTTTTTTTGCTTACTCCAGTAATTTTGGACAAGTTCATTGGTGAAGCCTGCATCCAACAAGATTCTATTAATTAAGTCCGTGTTACCTAGCATAGAAAAAGAGTGTCTTGAGTTAAGTATACGAGGTTTTTATCTAGGATAAAAATGGGGCCTTTAAGATGGATGTTTCTAAGAATATAAAATTACATTATCCATTCATTGTAAACACGTTTCTTATATCAGAAATGGTCGTCCTACTTTACAGTTTTAAGTACTTGGGAAGTATTAGTAGTGGAAAGGCAAATTCCAAATGAGACACATTATTTTTAAAACAATATAAAAAGATACCTGAAATATGCCATATGCCATGTCACAAAAGAGAGAAGAAAAAATTCTCCAGATGCTTTTTTAGGTTAGTATGATGATTCCCAACTATTATAATTTCAAAGACAATTGAAATATATAGTCACATCTATTTAAATTCTGCATGACTATATAGAGGAGGGTGTTTAGAAAAGTTCATGGAAAAATGTAATTTACAGATAATAGAATTTTCCTATGAACTCTTTGAAATCTTTTCTCTCTTTCACATATGTATATCTATATATAACAAATAATTGTTCATTCCTTTTTCAACTAAAACTACATTAAAAAAAAGTCTACTTTCCCCCTTCAATTCTTAAAAGAAATGGCATTTTCATTCTCTCCTATCCCCACATGTCAGAGAGCAATCATCGCGGGAGGCAAGACAACATTTAAATAAAGTTGGCTTTATGAAAAGTACATTACTATTATTTTTTGTCAAGGGCCAGAAGATTTTTCCATAGGCCTGTATCAATTCATAAAGTGGGTTTTGGAATCTGCTGGTTTTGAAAAACGAGCACAGGAGCAGGTAGTCACTTCTGTGATAACCCCGGGACACAGTAGCCTCGGCTCAAAGGTGATGGAGAACCGATAACCAAGGTCTGGGTCATTAATGTCGTTCCTACACAATTCGCAGTCTTCACTCTTTTGTCCAAGCGCTTCTGTGTGTAGCTCACTCATCTACAAGCATTCTTGGAATGCCTCATTGATAGGATTTCATTTTATTGCGAAAAGGCAGAGAGGTTGTTGCTGGTAACAGTGACCCTGTGGACCAGAGCAGAACTGCCCTGTCGGGCCGGCTTCCCAGGCTGCTGTCTTTAATGGAGCAGACCACCAGATCTGTTCACTCCTGGGGCCACCGGTGTGTTTAAAGCACAGATCTTTTAGTTTACAGCTGAAACATGAAACATCACCAAAGCTTCCTTAAAGAATATATGGTCTTACTTACATCCTATTTCTATAAGAGGTTGTAGGGGAGGTAGACTGGAAAGCATTTGATGGTTTAAATCTGTTAGCTTATTAATTAAATATTAAATAATAATTTTATCTACATTTTAGACGATAGTTTGTTCTAGGAATTCTTAAAAGCTATATTAATTTAGAAATGAACATACTAATATGTCACTTTACGAAGGTCAATTTGGAAGGCGTGAGGCATTATAATTCTCAATTTCTGGTAACATAAAAAAAATGAGATAATTATTCTGATTTATAATATAAATGAATGTTGCTGGTAATACTGAGATTTTCTTCATGTTTTCATTATACAACATGAATAAAATTGCATTTTGAAATATGTTCCCAGGCTAACTACTTAAATATAAAATCATATTATTAGTATTGATATTCAGCTTTACCATTTCAAACTAACACATACACACAATTTCATTTTATACTGGCTAAAGAATAAGTGGGAACTATGAAAAAGACATTCACTCTATAAATTTAATTAGATTAATATAGTAATTTAAATATTAGATGGCATTTGTTTTAAGATTATGAACTCTAGTAAAGCAAAATAAAACCTGATCATACTGACTTAAAGAGCATTTGATTCACTAATAGATTTCATTGATAACTTCTTTTAAAGCTTATTTTATACTTTACGGTATTTTATAACAAAGTGCAATTGTGAACAAAATCTAAAATATATAATACTCTAAGAAAAATACTTTTATACAATTAATTCTGTTTTATGTGATTACAAATCTTAGAAATTCCCAATTTTTTACATGGCTAGGGAATCATTTCAAACATTTGCTATTGAATTATAGAGGCAGCTGATGGTAGCTTAAAAGTAAGTTGCAATAAATGGAAAAAAAATACAACTCAGTATTTGCTCTCATTAAATGTAAGTATTTTTAAAAACATATTTATACTTTGTTAGGAAACAGAAGTCTAATTTCATGGCTTTCTGAGGATTTATTATATGCACATAATAAAGCAAGCATTGATGATAACCTCATCTCCTGCACAAGGAACATGCATTCCTCATTTGGACGTGACAGCCAGAGAATAATGCCATTTGTACAGATATCCACCTGATACTTTTATTTTGATTTTCGCTTGGGGATGTCTATTAGTTGCTAATGGACATGGCAGGGCTGTGGTGGCGCTGTTCAGAAGCTCTGAATGTGAGCAAGGTGAGACTGCTTGGTCCTGGGCAGATTTTCAAAGCCTCACCAACCTTATCTACGGATGCGATGAGTTGGAATCGATTCGATGGCAGTGAGGAAGAGGAAATGAACTGTGACTTGGAATAATATTTTTGGAAGCTCCAGCTCAGTCAGAGTGAGCTCACACTGAGCAGAAAGGTTTGAAATTACTCATGTTTGGCATAATCAATGTAGACTTCATGCACCTCTGACAGTATTTTACTAGGCTTTGGAAACCTCCAGTTATTTCTTATCAAATGGAGGTCCAAGAAAGCTGTTTTTTTGTGTGTTTTTTTTTTTCCCAAGAAAGCTGTTATTTCTTGTTTGAAATAAGTTTCTTTGAGTGACTGCTTTGATAATTGAAGTTTCTCATTTTTTGGTAACTGGCTACATACTTGAGAACAAGAAGGGAGAAAGAGAAGGAAAAGATGAGGAAGAAGAGGAAAACAGAGCAGGAGGAGAAAGACAAAGGAAGATCATGTCAATTACAGTATTTGTTTTCCAATTTTACTTAAGTTAAATTTTCCATACAGTTAGCTTTTCTCTTATTCTCATCCACAATATAGTTTTTCTGAACAGTGTTTTTATAAAAGAATATTTTGATAACTTATTATAAACAAAGAATCTTAAATTCCATGAGATCTAAGGGTATGGGGAATGCAAATTTCTCTGAAAGGCAAATAATATGGTTGAAACTAATTACTGATATATATTTTCCTATTTCAACTTCATAAACTTCATAACACAGGGAATTATAGAACTGTATTTTCAAGACCTAAAACTAAAAAACAAAAAACAAAACAAACCCTGTTGTGGAATCAATTCAGACTCGCAGTGACAAAGTGTACTGAAATCAACACAGAATGTCATAAAGAACACAACGAAATGATAATTCTATTCATACTTTTATTTTATTTAAATATTTAAATTCACTACATAAATCAGAAGGAATAAATTTCTAAAATGTTCTATATCCTCTACCGAGCAAGAGAAGAAGAAAAAAAAACCCTCAAAAGAACAATCAAAATTTAATTTCTTAAATGTAAGGAGTAAACATCAGTGTAGACTAATTACTTTCAATCATGTGCAAGTATCAAATAATTTGCTTTAGAAATTCTATTCCATTTCATAATAAGATAATAAATAAACAAAGATATAATTGGAAAAAAGTAGTATTAAAATAATAAATTAAAAATTAAACCAGCACAATAACAAAATGATATGACTCAATATTTGACTAGTGGAAATAACCATTCTGAAGCAATGTGACAAATTAATCCATACTTACATGATGGGTTATTTGGTGTCTTTCTATCAATGAACTCATTGAAATTTAAGAGAAATTCAGTGTTATTATCCGATAGTTTAAGGTCACTGCAGTAATCTCTGTAAAAAATATTAACATATTAGGTATTAAAATGGAAAAAAATATATGGTAATCACTGATAGTGAATATATGGACTGATTACATACCTTAACAGCTTTTTTTTTGCAATTATATATTAAAAAATTAAATTAATATTACAAATCATATTAAGGAATTAGTTTCTATAAGAGACAGATGTAAAGATAGTTACACCAAGACTTTAGAGAGACCTCTTAGCACTATGCCTTCTTGTTTAGCATCTGTTAAGCTATGAACTGAAACAGAGCACTTGTTAGAGGCCACCCAGGCAGGTCCATCTCATAGCAACCTGATCGACAACAGAATCAAACACAGCTCAGTCCAGTACCGTCTTCACAGTCATTGAGACATTTGACAGCACTATTGTCGCCACTGTGCTAATTCATTTAATTGGGGGTCTTCCTTTCCCCCTGCTGATTCTCTACTCTACTAAGCATGCTGTCCTTCTCCAGAAACCAGTCCCTTCTTATAAGATGTCCAAGGTATATGAGGCAGTCTCAATGTCCTCATGCCTAAGGGGTATTCAGACTGTATTTCTTTTTAACCAATATTTTTGTTCTAGGGACAATCCATAGTATAGTCAATTTTCTTCCCCAACCCATCATTCCAAGGCATGAATTCTTCCATCTTCCTTATTCACTGTACACTGTGCACATCACCACTGCCATTGAGTCGAGAACAGGGCAGCGCTATCCCTTTGGGTGTCTGAAATCTTTACGGAAGCGACAGCCTCTTTCTTCTGCAGGAGTCAAACTGCTGACCTTGGGGTTAGCAGCCCAATGTTTAAAATTAACCTACCACAGAGACCGAGCTCTTTGCATACAAGGAGATTGAAAATACCAATGTAACCTGCTGCTGCATTGATTTGGGGTCAAGTAAATGGAAAACCTTGACATTTCAATGTTTTCTTCATTAATCATGGCTTTGCTTATTGGTCCAGTTGTGAGGATTTTTTGTTTCACTTATGTTGTAGTGTAATGCATACAGAAGTCTTTGAGCTGCGTCAGGAATTGCTACAAGTTCTCTTCATTTTCTCCAAACCAGTTTGTGTCATTTGCATATCTCAAGTTGTTAATAGCTCTTTCTACAATGTACATCCTTCTTCCTATAATCCACCATCTAAGACTATGTGCTCCGCACACGGACTGGATAAATATATGACAGGATACCTTTCTGGCACACACCTTTCCAGATTCTAACCCATGCAATGTCCCCTTGCTCTGCTCTGACTCCTGCCTGTTGCTTGAGCAAAATGAAGGGTTCTGCAGCCCGATGCTTCGTAATGTTATTTACACGGGCGTACCTCATGTACTGTGTTTTGCTTTATGGTACTTTGCAGATACTGTATTTTTATTTTAGTTATTTTACAAATTAATATTCTGTGGCAGCTGGTGTCAAATATGGCAATCAGTACCATGTTTCTCACAACTTATGTCCACTCAGTACCTCTGTGTCACATGCGGGCCATTCTGACAATGATGCAAACGTATTCAAAATGGCATTGAACACACTAGACTACAGTATAGTGTACACAGAACTTTTATAGGTTCTTGGATTCCAAAAAAATGCATGTGACTCATTTTATTGCTGTATTAACTTTACTAGAGTGGTCTGGAACCGAACCCACATTTGAGCCAAGATATGTAAGCTTTTTAATATTTTGTTTGAAAATATCTTGTTACTTCCATTTATCTCTTTCTAAAATGAAACTTTGTTAGTCAGTGATGGAGACTACAAATATATATGAAGCACTGGATCTTTCAGCATCCAGTGCTCAACAAATAGCTTTTGGCATTCCCTAATGCAATAAATAGCTTTTGGCATTCCCTATTACCCTTGTAGAGCTAGAGCTGTATTTTTCAGCCCTTTAGTTTCAGTTTTAAACAGCACACAATCATTGGGAACCTCCTCAAAGCCTTTGTTTATTGAAGTCATACCTGTCAATATTTACTATATAGGAATTAAGACTGAGAAATTTAAAAATAAGTATTCATTTAAAGTGTAATAACATACTCATAATGTATAAAATAACACATTTTCATGAGAATTTACTGTTTCCCAAATAAACAACAACAAAAATGTAATGCAAAGACTGGACTTTTTTTTCCTTTTTCTTTGTAATCTCCTCAATACCAGATGTAAGACGTGACTGGAGCGATATCACAGTTCTCAGACAGATGTGTAGTCAGAAGAAGAGAATTGTTTGGATCATTCTTGAGAAGATTGTGACTATTCAGTTTTGATAAATTAATATTTGTAGTCTCTTAGCAATTAGTAGTAACATGGACTCAGAAACAATATTAATGAAAAATTTGTACTGTGCTACATTAAAATTCAATACTCTGTCTTGCTCTTTGAATGTATCTTTACTCATCTTATTTTGCAAAACCATTCACTGGTCACCATCTAGTTCATTTGGTATCAGAGTGGAAAGACTGACGTTTCTATAGCCCACTGGATTGTTTCCTTATATTATCCAATTTTCCCAACTCTTCTTTCTTCCAGATGAGACCATACCATACATTTCACCTTAGAGAGCTTTTAAGCCCTCAGTTGCTACTCACTGAAGTCAGATGGAGAAAATTGTCTTTGTGAATTATGTTGAGTCAATTGACCTTCGTGTCCCCAGAAACAAGGGTCCTGATCTCCAAGGGCCAGTGTCTCATTTCCCCAAGATATTTGGTCATGTCTAAGCCATTTTCATATTTAAGATGTTTTCATGTCTCAAAACTTTCCACCTGTATCTTCCATGATGTTCATGGATATATCTGTAGTGCAAGTAAATAAATACATACATACAAATACCCCCCCCTCCTTTTCACACCTATTCAGCCTGCATGTAGCTAGATAATTCTTGTTAGTAGGATTGAAATTTTTTAGACATGTGTGTGCCTAAAAAGATAGCATCTATGAAGGGGCTTGAAAAATGTCATGGAAAATTTCTATTATCTTTTAATTTCACTTTTCCATTAACTTTTCAAAGGCCCTTATATTTTGCTTATTTGTTAGCCTAGTTGCTCACAGTAATGCTTGGAATTTGAGCACTTAACGGTAATAACAGACAAAGATTATAGCTACCAGACCCAGAACATGTGGGAGGACCTTGCTTATATATTTTCTATAAACCATTGTTTTCTAAAATAAATCGATGTTATCCACATTGATCATTAGCCCTTTTAGGGGAGAAATGTCCTAAGAAAATCAGCAGTTAAGTGGTGAAACCTTTGTACAGCTTAAAATTTTTGAAGAACAAAGCAACTTTCAAATTCTTGTGAACACCTTTAGCGCCCCAAAGCTTAATCTCTTTAAGCACTTTGTGTTTCTGACCAATAAACTAAAACAAACCTTTCCCCCATCTCCCCCCAAAAAAGCCAGAAAATTCACTGCTCTCAAGTTGAGTCTGACTCATCGTAACCCTACAGGACAGGACAGATGTGCCCCTAGGGGCTTCCAAGACTACCTGGTTATGAGAGAGAAGAAAAACATCTTTCTTCCTCAAAGGGGCTAGTGGTTTTGAACTGCTGACCTTGAGGTTAGTAGCCAACTTGTAACCCACTACACCAGTAGGGCTCCTGGTAATCATCTGACCAAAAGATTTTATATCTACCAATATGACCCAAAAAATCTTGTAATAGAAACATTTTAAAACTAAAGGGGCTTTGGTATTAGAAGTTTGGCAAATTATTTATTTCTAGCATAATGAAAGTGAGTGTGTTCTCATTCCATTTGCCAAATTTACCTAAGTCAGACCTCACAAACAAGCACGTAACCATAGGCTATCACTTGAGGTCCTTTCTTTCTTATTCTAACTCAACTGCATCTTTGAAATGCCTTTTTAATTTCAGATAATCTGGAAGTGGCAAATTATACGTGCCAAAGTCTTCATCCCTGTATTTTAAATGTATGGAAACTCACTGTGAAAAATAACAATTAATAATTATCAAATAGGTAAACTTATTCACAGAGGAATTAACAAAAATAACCACCTTTCTAAAATCTGATAGCTTTAGAATTTAAATTATTTGAGCACAACTGCTCTTTAACATTCTTTAATAAGCGCTATCACTTCTTCATCCCTCCCCTCTATTGCTTCCTTACTACAGTGAAGAGTCCCGATACATTAGAATTCTTAGGAAGCAGATGTATGGAAGCAGATTGGCTCATTCTGACCTCTGGTGAGTTACAGCCACTGATTTTGGGGCCCTGCCCACACACTATGCCACTGAGGCTCCTTCCTATTATTACAACTATGAAATTTAATTTTTATATCACATCAAGAACTATGCTAAATAATTTGTATGCATTATCTCATGTAGTGCTGAAAAACCCATCAGATTATACTGTTGTTATTTTGGTATTGTTATTAGGTTGGTATTTTCTTATTTTTCAAGTAAAGAAGTTAAGGCAGACATTGGGGAAATATGCCGCAATGTGGGGCAGTCCACCACTGTCTGGCTCCACAGCCTGCCGCGCTGTTCCTCACTGAGAACAATGGCAGAGGGAGGACAAAGGCCTGGGGTCCGACACCAATCCACTTCTCCTTTCTTTTCTCACTGGACATTAGTTTGTCTCAGTTTTACATCACTTTAATATTCACAACTCTCTTGAGTACACAATTAATATTCACTTTTCTAGGACACCTCTCCTACAAAAACGTTTTGCTCATAATGACTGGATGGCCATTTTCTATGTTTTAGCATCTGCATATTCTTTGTACACATTTATATCTTAGAGGAGAAATGTCCTCTTAGATGAGGACAATTTAAATCATTACAGTTTTTTTTTTTTGAGAAGTAAACATAATTCTCCTCAGGTAGTCTCAGCATGAAATAACTGATGTGGGCACTCTTTGGTTGGCCCCTGTGCTACCCTTTCCTACAAATACAGGTAAATTCCAGTTTTCCAAGCAGCCACCTCGATGTTGACTATGACACAGGTCACAGAAAGGGTCCATACCCTAATTACAACTGAGCTATAAAGAGTATATTGCTTATGTACTAGAAAACTGCAACTGAGAGATAGATTTAGATTCTCTATGGGTGCCCGGGTTTTACTATAGTTCCCACTTTGCACTGGGAGAAGGGTAGGAAAACCAGGCAGCTTGCACTGACGGTTATTTTACGATTGGGAAAGGAAACCGAATAATCAGCTCAGATAAAAGCACTGGCCACAGACAGAAGTTGCGTCACGACAACATAGCACATCTACCCCCAACGTCTTCTTATAATTGGCTCTGTTTATGTTCCTGTGGGACACCTCTCTACTATTACAATTCTCTTTTCTAGCTATGCCTAATTTTAGTCAGTCAAATTTGCTCAGGTGCTTGTCCAAAATGTTAATGACACAGGTATTGTAATTAATAATATAACATTTAAAGTGTACTTCATATATTTATAAATTATTTAGTCACCAAATATTTATTCACCAACTACTGTGTTGGAAAAAACTATATTTTATATTGGGTAGGTATTCAGTGCTAAATCAAACACTGAGTCCTGGCTCTCTTGGGGAAAGTAAGTAAAATAGAATGTGTTCAATGCTCTGGAAAGATAAATACAGGATTCTTCGGGAGCAGACAGAAAGATAGTCCAAATAGGACATAATTCTTGGCTCATAAAACTTTAAAGGCTTTGGGAAGGGGAGTATGTGTGTGTGTGTGTGTGTGTAGAATCCAAAACAGAATTCAGAATTTGTGAAAGAAAAGACATAGTGAAAAACATGACACATTTAGGCACTGGTAGAAGTTTAGCATGGCTGCAATTTAGAGCACGAGTTGAAAAAATTGTTCTTAATGGCCAGGATCTGTGACCCACAATGTTTTTGTCCTACTATTCAATTCTAGGATTGCTGTAAAAATGCAGCTAACAGAAAATACATACATGAATGGCTATTGTTTCCATCAAAATATAGGTCATAAAACAGGCAGCCCACCTGCTGTCTGTAGTTTGGTGGCCATTGATTAATAGTGTAGAGACTATAATACCAAACCTGGACCTGAAAACTGTATTATAAATAAAGGATTATCTTGAAAGCAAGACAATGCTACTGCTTAGCAGGAAACTTTTGAGAAAAATGATTGATATGTTCATTGTTTTAGATGCTATCTCCAGTTACATAATGGAGCCTGGATTGGGAAAGGGGAAACCTTGAACAGAGAGGGGCAGATCAAGGAGGAAGTTGTAGTTGTTTAGTGAGAGGACAAAGACAGCCAGGTTAAACTGACCTGATCCCCCTGAGATGGATTGGGTAGGATTTGATAATTGATTGAAATAATTCTTATAGCACAATAGATAAGTGCTTGACTGTTAACCAAAAGGTTGGCTGTTCAAAGCCGTCAGCAGCTCCACAAGAGAATGATATGGAAGTTTACTTCTGTAACGATTACAACCCAGAAACTCCTATCTTAACGGGCCGCTCTGAGTTGAAATTGATTTCATAGATTTGATAATTGAGTAAAAAAAGAACAGTTAACAAGAATGGACAAATAGGAGGATAGTATTTCCTTCATTGGTGTAACAAAAAGAAGCATTTTCCAAAGAGGATACATTATTTAAAGCACCCTGAAGATATAGTTCTGCTAGTTTATAAGACATGAAGACCTTATATTGAAATATGTAGGAGAGACATGAGGTCAGCAAATGAATATACTCATATATAACTTATTTATATATAATTTGTTGATAAATTTCAGTAGAATGTTATAATGAACCACATTACTATCTTTGTCTATATTTGTAAACATTATGTCCATCTGCAATTTGGGAGCCATCATCTTAAACTGTAAGCAAAAATTAGATGGGCATCTTTTGGGACATGTGTAGACTGAAGCGTTTGAAGAAAAGCAGGGGAAATGAAGTTCATGAAACAGACTGCATAAACCGCCTGAGACAGAGAAAGGAAATCTGAAAAGTGTGCTGTCAAGAAAGAGAAGGCAAAAAAGTGCCCAAAGTGGGAGTGCTCGGCAGTGTCCGACCCTACAGGAAATCCGAGAAGGAACATCTCAGGGAGAAAAATGTTCGTAAAGCCCAAAATGTGTTTTGCTAAAAGGAACTTGGTGAATTATGGAATCTGTCTTGAACCTGGTGATACAGTGGCTAAGTGCTGGACTTCTAACAGAGTGCTCTGTGGTTCAAATCCACCAGACGTTCTGCAGAGAAGAGACCCGTCAAACGGGGGCTGGAAGACAAGTGAGACAATGCAGCAACAAGAACACGTCCGTCTTATTTGCCCTTGCAGCCCCGTGCCGGCGCACTATTTTGTGCACAGCTAGGGTTGACTAAAATACCTGAAAAAGTAACTGAATGAGTGAGCAGGCTCTTGTTTCTGTTTTACAGGTCCCATTCTATCTCATTTCATAATTTGCTAACAGAACAGTTCTATCTCAAACTCGGAGCTGATGTTGATGTTCCACCCAACACGAGATATTAAAAGAAAGAAAGAAAATAAAACTAACCTTGGTGCTATGAATGTATAGCCAGATTCTTCAAAATTATCTGGTTTCAGGGTTTCAGAATCTGTAAAGATAATGTTATAGAATTAGATAAGTAATCCAGAGTATACGTCCCAACATTTTATGCTTGACAAGAGGGCATTACCTAATAAGAAAAATTAAAAATAGACTAAATGTATCCTAAGTTAAATTTCAATCAACATAAGGGCCTTTTATCCATCACAATATAATAATGAATGTTTTACAATATAATAATACATTTTATTTTCTGAACATGGACTATGATAATTATGTGAGAGGAAAATGCAATGGCTTTGCTTTCTCATTTACTAGCCCTACCAGAACCAAGATGCCTGTAAAAAAATAGATTTCTATCAATGTTACCCCAGAGTCATTTTATTTCAAAAGGCAATTTTAAACATTCACGAATATTCTTGTAATAAAAATGAAGAAAGCCATAAATACTTGTAGTGAATTAAGAATATATTAAGATATAAATTAGCAGAAAGGTTAAAAAATAAGTAATTGACTAAGAAAAAATTAATTTGAAATTAATGTGAAAATGCAAGCCAATTGCTTCCCCTTATTTTGGCTGCTGTGGTGGGAGCGATCGTGGGGGAAGATCTAGCAAATGAGACACAGAGGATAATGTCCAGTAGGAATGGAAATATCAGTGGAAATGCCAAATGTATTAAAACAGAAAGAAGTTGAGCAACAAGAGAATACTTGCCCTTCATTTTGCCCTTTTTTGCTGTGAAAATCCATCAGAAAGAGAAAGCAAGGGGGGAAAAAGAGGGTAAAGCAAAGGGGGGTCACAAACTATTTTATTCAATGACTTTCTTGAATAAAAATATTGTGCATAGATCAAAGGTTCATTTCTGTACAGTTGTAGTCTGAAAAGAAGACACATAATTTTGCAGACTGGAAATCTGTCCGGTCAATTATTACTAGAGCACCCTCTATGTACTGCAGTTATTTCAAGGGTCTGGTTTGCAATGTGATCAATGCAAGTACAATACCAATGATGCGGGCCTGTAAACAGCAGCATTTCTCCAGAATCAGAACCCACTCGTTAGCCCCTCATTTTTCAGGTGAAGAACTAGTTCATGCAAAATTGTTGGTTGTTAAAAGACCATCATATCTATTAAGTGAAAGTAGAAATAAAAATGTTTGAAGCACCAAATATACTATGAAAACCAGTAATGGGACAACACAAACGAAACAAATGGAAGACAGTGTAATTTCCTTTATGGCCGGGAGTACAAGATAGGTGGGGGCTTGTTGTTATTAGTTTGGTTGTTTCATTTTTTTTCCTTTTTGTTTTGTGCTTTTCCTTCTTCCTAACAAAAAACCTGTAAGTTGTTAGTAATAATTGAGCAAAGCACAAAGGATATGATGGTCATTTTACTTCACTCAATCTAATAACCCAAAATGAAATAAAACAATGACTTGAAATACGCACGAGTGTTAGAATTATTCCACATTCCAAATGCGGCTTAAAAAGCAACTGATCTGAGTTATTTAAACATTAAGCTGAATTTTAATTAAAAAAAAACAACAACACACAAGAGAGTTAATCCCTACACCCAAGCCTGAGACTAGCTCAATTTAATTTATTCAAACAAAGTAAAAGATGTGAAGCACAATATTATTCCTGCCCAAAGCAAAATTAAAATAAAAAGGTAAAGCTTTACTAGCACAAAGCCACAAGTAAAGACTATGTTAATCATCAGCATGTGAAACATTTCACGTTGGCTTGCAGACCCTTCAAATGACAACAGAGGACACGGCATTGCAATGATTCTCTGAGCACATAGCAAGGCAGGGAAGGGTGGTGGGGACTGCCAGTGGGACCGGAGTACCTGCTCATATTCTATCCATGTAGAATATTTCTTGTTCCTTGCATGTTTGGAATGGGTTAGAATCATTGCTGCAGATTAGGTAATAATACCTGCTAGAAGGTGTGAGCCTCGGGTATTCTAAAGTCTAGACGTACTGAAATATCTGATAGGAGGAGATAAAATAGACCCTGAAGTCACTTTCACAGTACTTACATCTGGCCTGAGTTATTGTCTCTTCTATTTTGGCTTTTATATAGTAAAAACTGTAGGTTGGTAATACCAAGGCCAAACTGCAATAGAAACAAGAGAAGCATAAACACAAACAAACAAAAATGAAACATACCTTAAAAAAAGAAAAGGAAAGAAAAAGACACATCAAATTCATGGAAAACCCAAAGGCCTTATTCGTGGGAAGGAAAAGACATACTACTTTGACACGAAAATGCATTCAGCAAATCAAATACTGGATTTGGTCTTGCCGCCCCGCTCTTTATAGTGCAGGAACTCAGAGGAGACATAAGGGAACGAAGCTAACAAAGGCTCCTGTGAATTAGCTAAGGAGAAGATGTCATGAGTCCCTACTATTATTTCCAGAATATTGTAACTCTGAAAATTGAAATAGGAAACCAGAATCGCGATGAGGCGCCATCAGGCTGGCGCCAGCTCAGAGCTGGCCTATGTGAACCCACTGAGCACTGTCCATCCTGCGGCGTCTTCGCAATGGTTGCTACGAAACAGACCCTAGCAACTGGATACCTCTTTTAAAATATGTTTTATAAAAGGTTAAAATGCTTGCTAAGAGGCAAAGCACTATTAAAATTTTCATGTGGAAAAACCATTATGACAGTGAATCTTTTAAAAGCGGGAACTGGATAGGACTGCCTTGTTTTTCCAGGTTTTGCAAGGTTTGCTGTCTTTCACAATGTGTAGTTTTACCTCTTTTGTATCACGTGTTTCAGGGGAAATACGTGAAGTTTCCTTCTCTTATAGGTTTCCGTCTTCCACACATTCCAGCTTCCACAGGTTTTACTATATTATCATCACTTTAATAAAGTACATAAAGTGATCTGAATTATGCGCTTTAAAAAAATTCCCTACTATAGACTGTAAGTCAGCAGAAAACACATGGTGGGCGCAGTAACTTTACAGGAGTCCTTTGCGATCCTCATCTTATGGCCGATGTGCAAATTGGAGGAGAGTTCGCACTCAAACCTTCAGGCAAATGCAGAATCTTCAGACACAAAGGCTGGCAGATAAGCCTGCCAGTAAACTTCATCATAATAAAGGCTCAAATTCAAAACCTGAGCAGCCTCGTAAACCCCAATCTCACTCATTTTGTAGTTGCCAATTAATAAAACACATGGTCGATAAGAGCAGTTGAAAGATTTCAAAGTGTTATATTTCCAACAACACAACTACATCTGTGTAAATTCCTATATTCTCACAATGGCTAATATAGATGGATGGGCATAATGAATTAGTATAAATCTACACATCCAGTTGTAAATGCCCTTCACTGTATGTTGAACATACAAAAAAAGCAATGGGTGTAAAAAGGGAGAACATGTCTAAGATTACCAATGTGATCATTACCAAAAAAGAGGCTCCAACTGAATCATTGAACATTTATGTTTGATATTTAATCCCCAATACAGCAAGGCACAAGAAAAGATGCAAATTTCAGCTTTCAAGTTTTTGCAGAGGATCTCCTTTGAATTTCCTCATTTCATTTTTTTCAGCCCTCAACGATATACGTTCTAACTGTAAACTCATGACATATTGCTGGTGGACAATTAAACATAAAATCCCACATTTTTCTCCATAAGAAGACACGTTTTAAAAATCCAATGTATGATGAGTAAGAAAGGAAGGGGTCAATTGACCATGGAATGAAACAGCCAAGGCAGCGAACTGAGTGGATACTGGCTCCCTCCCCTCCCCAAAGCGTTCTCCAGCACAAAGTACAGCATAGACTTTCCTTTTAGGGAAAGGTCACTGAAATAAAATGTCAGGGAGATTTAATGAAGATCTCTATATTCATTTTATAGGTAACTTCCTTTAAGTGAAGGCAAAAATGAAGATTAAAATAAGCAGTGCAATTAGTCTGGAAGAAGATGACCTTTCGTGATTTCGTTTGCCATTTATAAAGTGCAGCACAGAATTATCAAACATTTGAAGATTGTTTCCTACAAACTCCTCTCAAGGGAAATTAGGGCATTTTTATTACCCTATCAGCATTTATTGCTAAGAGAAACGTCTAATTAAAACCGATAACGTTACATCACGCAACTGCCAGATTGCCATTCTGTAAATGTGAGCTGCATCTCATGGACCAGGAAAAACAGCGTGAAAATCATGAAAACATTGGTTTAAAATTATTATATGACATATGTATTTCGTTGCCCTACAAGTCTCAGATTGTTACTAGCTCCAATACATTCCACAGAAAAATAATAGCTACTTATTTATTATTTAGTTTATTTTCATCTCAAGGCCACTGTTCTTTCTCCACTGACCGCCAGACACGATCTTCCCCAACAGCTCGGGTTAACGATCCTGTCATCATCCGCAGGCCTTGCTGACACGCTCCCTATAACAGCAAGAGGCCGAGGGAGCTTCATTCCCAGCTGGATGAAACTACTGAAATGAGGGGTGATCAGGATGGTAACGCCTACAATGTGCTTGACACAATGGATGGTTGTGTGGATTGTAATAAGAGATATAAGAGCCCCTAATAAAAGTATTTATTTAATTCACAAAAATAGACAGAGACCTTGAGTTTATATATATATACTAGCCATGAATAAGGATAAGAATAAAAACAGTATTTTTATTTAATAAAGTTTTCTGTAACCTTGTTTTTAAAAAAGAATAGCTTAAGATGAAAAAATTAAATATTAAAAGGTTAAATAATAGTCCTATTAAAAATAAGAGAAAGATTGAACTGAAATACTCTTTTATACATCGAATCAATTACCTGTAATCTGTGCCGTTAACAGGAGTCCATGTGTATGTTCTGTTCCCTTTGTCAATGTACCTCTAGAGAAACACATTGGAGGAGGTTTTAATACACCTTATGTTCCCTATGAACTTATAAAAAGAGCAAAACACTCACATTTACATTCAAACTGTTCTGTCACAAAATATATTGTTATATGATTCATCTCTCCTACATTTAAAAATGTTTAGTTTTGAAGAAGCAAAATTTCAGGACAGAAATAAACATCTAATAATAAATTTTAAATATATCACTGTAGAAGCTTAATAATTTATGGATAAATTTCTAACTTCAAAATTAAAAAGAATATTTTCTGAAAAAATAGAGTTTAATGAGACTGAAGCTAATCTATTTATATACAACAATATGTTTCAGAGTAATTTTTAATATAAGAAAATTATGTCAGCATGTCTAGATCCTAATATATTATTAGTATATATGTGTTTATAAAGAGTTAGACTGTGTCATTGAAGTGAAACGAAACAGAGAAAGGAAAGAAAATAAACACAAATGATTTCAAGGATGTAGAAATCTTTGTAAAATAATCATGGAAAAAGATATTTCACCCAGATACAAATCTTTTCTTTATAGTGACTGGATAACTGTAAACAACTCTCATTCTTTATTCTATTGCAAAACTAAAACCAAACTTGCTACAAGGAGTTTGCAGCATGAATTCTGACACCTAGGGACCCTATGTGGTGGCTGTTGAGTTTCATTCTCACAATTGACTTTATGTTTGGGCCACTGTGGCAGCCACCAATCTACGCATCCTCTTCACTAAACCTCTACTTTCCCAAGCATGGCGCCCTTCTCCCGGGATGGTCTCTCGTCAAAGTATGTGAGAGAAGTCTTGCCATCTTTCCGCAAGGAGCATTCTGTCTGTGCTTCTTCCAAGACAGATTTGTTGGTTCTTTTAGCAGGAAGTGGTTCAATATAATTAATTGCAAATAATATAATTCAAATGCAAACATTCTCCTTTTGTCTTCCTTATTCAATGTCCAACTTTCACACGCATATGAAGTGATTGAAAATACCATGGCTTGGATTAGGTGTATCTTAACCCTCCAAGTACCCTCCTTGCTTTCCAGCACTTCAAAGAGATCTTGTGCAGCACAGTAACCCAGGGCATTATGTCCTTCGATAGCTTGACTGCTGCTTCCAAGAGAATTGATTGTGACCCAAGTAAGGCAAACTCCTGGACAATTTCGATCTTTTCTTCATTTATCATGATGTTATGTATTGGTCCAGTTGTGAGAATTTGGCTTTTCTTTACCTTGAATTTAAATGCATACTGAATCCTGCAATTCTTGATCTTCATGAGCAAATGCTTCAAGTACTCCTCACGCTCAGCAAGCAAGGTGTGTCATCTGCATATCGCAGAGTGTTAATAAGCCTTCCTCTAATCCTGATGCCACATCTTCTTCATGTAGTACAGCTTCTCTATTTGCTCAATATACAGATTGAATAAGTACAGTGAGAGAATACAACCCTGGTACACACCCTTCCTTATTTTAAACCCTGCAGCAAAATGAAATGATCTAGAATTCCCATTCTTCTCCAGGCTATCCATAGTTTGTTATCATGCACACAGTCAAATGCCTTTCCATAGTCAATGAAACACAAGTAAACATCTTTCTGGTATTCCCTCCATCTGACATCAGCAATGCTATCCCTTGTCCCACATCCTCTTTTATATCTGGCTGGAACTTCTGGAAGCTGCCTGTCAATATACTGCTGTAATAATTGTTGGGAGAACGTTAATATTTTACTTCTATGTAATATCAATAACATTATTCTAGAATTTTAGCATTCTGTTGGGTCAGCTGTCTTTAGAATGGGCACAGATATGGATCTCTTCCATTCAGTTGACCGTGTAGCTGTCATCGCTGTCCATCTTTTCTGGCATAGATGAGTGAGTACTTCCAGTACTTCATCAGCTTGTTGAAAGATTTCAATTGGCCTTCCATCAATTCCTGGAACCTTGTGTTTGGCTAATGCGTTCAGTATAGCTTGAAATTTTTTCTTCAGTAACATTGGTTCTTGCTCATGTGCTACCTCTTGAAATGGCTCAGTGTCGACGAGTTCTTTTGGGTACAGTGACTGTGCATTCTTTCCATCTTCTTTTGATGCATTTTACACCATTCAATATTTCGCCCGTAAAATCTTTCAATATTGCAGCTTTGAGCTTGAGTATTCCTTTCATTCTTTCAGTGTAAGATCTACTGAGAGTGCTCTTCCTCTTTGGTTTTCTAACGCTAGGCCTTTGTGTGTTTCATTACAGTATTTACTTTCTCTACTCGAGCTGCCCTGTGGAATTTTCTCTTCAGCTATTTGACTCTATATTTCCTTCCAGGTGCCTTAGTTACACTATGATTAAGAACTAGTTTCAGAGTCTCTTCTGACATCCACTTTGATCTTTCCTGTCTTTTTAGTGAGCTTTTGTTTTCCTCATGAATGATGTTCTCCCACAGCTCACCAGGTCTTCTATCATTTGTGTTACATGTAGCAAATCTGATTTTGAAGCAAATGTCAAGAGAATTTGTAGCAAAGAAGATTTTGATGTGATCTCGAAATTCAGATGGGATAAACTCAAGTTGTAGTTCCGTTCTTGTGGACTTGTTTTGATTTTCTGCAGCTTTGACATGAACTCAGACATGACCAATTGATGGTCTGATTTACAGTAGGCTCCTGGCCTCGGTTTAGCTTGTGATATGGAGTCTCTTTTTGCAGATCTAATCAATTTGATTTCTCTATTCTGTCTGGAGACATTCTCATGTATTGAAAAAAAGTATTTGAGAAGAAATCATTGCTTTTACAAAATTCTGTCATGACTTCTCCAGCTTCATTTCTATCACCAAGACCAGATTTTCCAACTACTGTTCTTTCTTCTTTGTTTCCAACTTTTGCAATTTAATCGCCAATAAGTACCAATGCATTTTGATGATGTTTGATTAATTTCGGACTGAAGATGTTGATGATATAATTCTTAAATTTCTGCATCACTAGCTCTCATGGTTGGTGTACATATGAATAACAGTTGTATTGAGCTAATTTCTTGTATGCAGAAAGAAATTATCCTATTAAACTCAGTATTATACTTCAAGATAGATCTTCAAATGTCTTTTGGCTGATGAGTGCAGCATCATTCCTCGTGAAACTGTCAACCTCATCAGAATAAATAATTTTATTTTCAGATTAAAAATGGCCAATAGCAATGTTACATCTCACTAACACCTAGAATATTGATATCTTTATGTGTTCCATTTAATTTTTGACAGCTTCCAATTTTTGTAGATTTCTATTTTGTACATTTCAAGTTCTGATTATCAAACAATATTTGCAGCTCTTTCTTCTCATTTTGAGTTGCGCTCAATCAGCAGATATTGTTCCTGAAGGCTTTCTTCCATCCAGGTCGCTATGGTCAATTGCACTTTGAGAAGGCAGCTCGCGCTCAGTCATATTTTGAGTACCTCGGGCTCTGAGGGCCTCATCTTCTTGCATGATCTCTGATAATTCTGCTTCTATTCATGATGATTCTGACTATGCTTAAACGTTATCTGTATCTGACTATGTTTAAACGTTATCCACACGGCTTTCAATAGCTAACTCAGCAGAATTGGAGAGCCTATTCCTTCCTTCATGTCCTGTTCATATTCTGGAAGCTCTGCTCTAACTATTCACTTCAGATATCCCTACCAGTATTTGAAACCCCAGTGACAATCTAACATTACAGCGACACACATGCCACCACATTATGAACACCTGACAATTAGTATTCATGCCACCAAATCGACAGAAACATTATTAACATGACAAGAAATGTAAGTTTTAAAATTTCCTACGAAATTTGGTACTATCATCAAATTAGCTGTCTGAGAAAAATCCCATTATTTTCAGTATATTCTAGAATGTAAAACTATAAAGGCATTCAAGTTATAGAAAACTTATTATTGTGAGTGTACATATAACAAACACATACTATTTTTAGATATCTGCAAATCAGGTTCATTTGGGCATATGTTTAAGCAGAAATGCTTAATGATTCTATTTAAAATTTATCTTTGCATTAATAATATGGTAAATAATAGTTTGAATATGGGCATTACATATTTGATTGCTTATTTTCATGGTATCGTATTTAATCTATGGACTATAGACCAATTGGATTTCTCAAGGACATGGCCATGAATAAAAGGTTACACATTGAGATAAGCTGGGTGAATCTTTTTCCAGTTAGTTCGGTGTGGGGAGAGGCTCTGTTGAAGACATTTTATATGTGAGCAGGTTAAAATTATTTGAACCACATTATGCTACATATTCTGAGGTGTGCTAACAGTAGAGTTTTCCACCTTCTACAGATGGAAAAAATTGTAAAGAAAGACTACATGGCATACTACAACAAAGAATATGAGGAAATTCGCAGTCCATATCTGACCTTACTTAGATGATTCAGCCACTTTGGGTGAAATTAAACAAATGTGTTAAATGGATTAACAGAAAAGAAAGACAAACTACCGATGTCAATTGTTATTTATATATTTCTTTATTTAAGAGTAATTCTTACCTCATCTTGAGATTTAACCAGTGTTCTGAATGTTCTCTCTCCACTCTCTCCATCTATCATTTTAGTCCGAATCTGAGGGAAAACAGACAAAGTGCCTTTATTTCAGGAGCCCAATTGACCAAAGAAGCAGGATTATTAAAACGTTAGCTTTTCAAGGTTTTATTTAAAACAAATTGAGCAAATATAGCAGTTGGTCCCACCAGTTGTTTTCTGGGAAACTTATTTAAAAGGTGTCACATTATAATCATTATTCCATTATATTAAAATGAGGAAACATTCTTAATGACCTATATTTAACCAGCTAATTCATTTCAAAGCATTGTTAATGAAAGGACAATCAACTACTTTATGAGATCACCATGATAAAATGTAAAGTACACAGGAAAAAATAGATGCATGCATGGAATTAGCATATAAAATGCCTCCAAGTTTTGCATTAACAAATAACCAGAATCACTTGAGTGATCAGTTTGTAAGAACACAACTTATCCAGGGAAACCTGTGAAAGCTGGACCTGATCTGACGAACTTGTTTGTCTGGGTCTCTCAAGCTTGTCCCTCTTTGAAAGGGTGCCGTCTTATTTATTTCTATTGCTCGATTTGGTGGAAAGTATTTTCTTTTTTTTTTTTGCAAAGTATTTTCAATGTCCTTCTTTGCCAGGTTTCCAGCTTACACTCATTCCAGCTTTGCAATTGTTTGTTTTTCTTTGCTGTATTACAGAATACAAAAGAACCAACATCGCGAGAAAGAACGCTCGGCTTGAATCGGATGAAACCCATGCTGATGTCATAGTAGAGTGCTTAGTCTCACCCCTCAGTGAGGATGTCCTTAACGCCCAAAAGATGGCAAGAGCTTATGCAGTCACGAAAATGCCAATCTCAAGGGCATTCAGGACATTCACTGAACTTTATTTCAGTTCACTGAAACGCCTTCAGGGATTTGCCTTTGGTTTATGGTAACTGTGGATAATAAGCGAACAAACTATACTGCTAATAAAATAAATCATTTAAATTTAAAGAATAATTAGTCTAATTGAGTTGCAATAATCTGTGAAAGTTTGGAATAGATCCAGCTTCTAGGAGAAGTTAGGATGAGTTTTAGAATAATAATAAAGGATTTAAATGAGTCCTTTGCTAAATTTTTTGTATATGTTACCTCATTCAATCATTACACTAATGGAGGGGAACCTGAAGCTCAGAGAAGTTAAATAAAGCTATTTTTTCACTCATTGGAGCAAGAAGTCCACAGACCAAGCTCTTCACCATATCAAAGACCTTGTAACAAATCATCATTAATCATATCATTGAAAACATCCTGGCACTCCACTGCAGTGCAGAATAATCACATTATGCAAAGGTACGGTAATTATCATATAAAAAAAGAAAGACCCTAAACAAGATTGGTGACATACTGGTTGTAAGAAGAGGCTAGAATAGGGTTACAGGGAATTAGAAACTCACAAACCAAGCTCAGGATTAAGGGAATGAATGGAGGAAAATGTGTAAAGCACATACAAATGCATGTAAAAAAATTGAGATAATTTATAAAAGAAAGAGGGTGGGTTATCCACAGATATGACCCAGAACCAGAACCAGAACCCATTGCCACGAGTCCATTCCAATGACAGAGATTCTGAATGGGGTTTTCAAGGCTGTATCGGTATGGGAGCAGAAAGCCTCATCATTCTCACGAGGAGTGCGGGGTGAGCTGGAATTGCTCAGCGTGCGGTCATCAGCCCAATATGTAGCCAATTCAGTAGGCCACGGGGCTCTGAATTCATACAAATCATCTTAATCGGTGTTTTGGCACTCAAGAGCTTGTGTGAAACCATGGTTCTACTATAAATCATCTCGAGTTTATGATGGGGCTCCACCTAAGAAACCATGTGAGTTTATGATGGGGCTTTACATGTGAAAGCATGGCTCTACATAAGTTTATGATGGGGCTCCATTCTGATGACTTTGTGATAAGTGAGTTCTGTTAAAACTCAAATAGCTCATATTTTTTCAGTTTCACTATGATTGCATTTTATTATAAATATTTTATAAGTACAGTTTATATTTGTATATTTACAAATATGATGACATGAACAAATAACATGCTGCACCATTGCATACACTAAATATTAACATTAAAATATATCTCCCTATGTAACAGCAGAAAAATATTGAAGAGCAGAAAACACTGATGGTCACACATGCCCATCATAACTCCAATATGTCTTTTAAGTGGGGCTACCTGTATTTAATGGCTGAATAAATGGAAAGCAAGCTATTTGATCTCTTTGTACTTGAACACCTCATTGTTGTTAAGTGCTGTCAAGTTGGTTCCAATTCACAAATACCCTGTGTACCACAAAACAAACACTGCCCGGTCCTGCGCCATGCTCACTGCCATCGCTACGCCCGAGCCACGGTGCCATTGCATACTGAAGGTATTCCCTTTATGCCGTCTCTACTTTACTAAGCATGACATATTTTCTCCCAGAAGTAGACCTTCCTAATCACATGTTGACACGCTTGCTTTGAAGGAGCACTCTGGTTGCACTTCTTCTAAGACAGATTGGTTCGTTCTCTGGCACTCCATGGTAATTGATATTTTTAACCAAACCATATTTCAAAGGCATCAATTCTTCTTTTGTTCTCATTAATTGTCCAGCATTTGCATACATCGAGGCAAATGAAAATAGCATTGCTTCGCTTAGGCCCATCTCAGTTCATAGAGTATTGTTTTTGCTTTTTAATAATTTAAAAAGGTCTTTTGCAGATTCTCCCCATGCAATATACCCTTGTTTAATTGCTTGACTGTTTCTTTCATGATTTTGGATGTAGGCAAAATGAAATCTTTCATAATTTCAACACTTTCTCCACTTAATATGATGCTATTATTAGTGCAATGTGAGAATTTGAGTGTCTTTATCTTGAGGTATAATGCATACTGAAAGTAGCAGTCTTTGGCCTTCAGCAGTGAACGCGTAAGTCCTCTTGGCTTGAAGCAAGCATGGTTGTGTGTTATATGACATATTACAGATTGTTAATGGGTCTTCCTTGAATGTTACTGCCATGTTATTCATATTGTCCAGTTCCTCAGATTACCAAAAAGTTACAACCTTGACAAAATTAAAAAAAAATTTAAACCACACAATAGCTCTTGCTCTCTTCAAACAACTGCATTTTGATCCGTATACAGGTTCCACATGAGCACTATAAAACATTTTGAAATTCCAGTTCTTTGCAATGTTATCTATAATTTCTTAGGATCCAACGTGGAATGCCTTTATATAGTCAATAAAATACAGACAAATATCTTTCTGGTACTCTCTACTTTCCACCTAAATCCATCTCACATCTGCAACTAAATGTCATTCCATGTCCACTTCTGAATCTGGCTTGAATTTCTGGTAGCTCTCTGTTGATGTACTACTGTAACCAAGTTTGGATTATCTTCAGTAAAACCCTATTTGTGTGTGATATTAATGACATTTTTAGGTAATTTCTGCCTTCAGTGGCTTCATCGTTCTGTGGACTATCGACCTCTTCTAGGTGGTTGGGCCGATGGGTGTCTTCCAAGTGCCTTGGCCTGAGTACTTCCAGTGCCGCATCCATTTATGGAAACATTTCAATGGTTTATTGCCTATTCCTGGAACACTTTTTATACCAGTGCCTTCAGTGGAGCCTGGGTGTTTTCAGTACCATTGGTTCTTGGTCATAGGCTACCTTTTGAATGGTTTGAATAGCAAGCAATTCTTTTTGGTAACTGTGTATTGCTTCCATCTTCTTTTGATGCTTCCTGTAATATTTGGTGCATATAATTATTCAATATTGAAACGAGGTGTGAGGGTTTACTTATTTGTTTTTATTTCTTCGGTTCTTTCCACTTGAGAAATGCTGGACATACATACTCTTCTCTTTGGGTCTTGTAGCTCCAGGCATTCAATCAAATTGATACCACAACGCTTATTTCAAAGTCTTTTGAAAACCCATTTGAGATATATTATATATATTCAATACATATTAGTGCTATTGTTACTACTAAAATGAATTCTTGCTATTATTACAGAAGATAATTCAGAGGAAATACATGGGACTTTTGGTTTTGAAATAAAATTAAAATTTGTTGACTATGGTGTATAAACATAGTCATTCTTCTCCATAAGTTGTTCATCATCTGGTTGAATCACCTCCAACGTTTCTTCCATTTCTACGGACACATCTTTATCTTTAGGGTTTTTATTGTTATTTGTAAGTTATTAAAGGCACTTATATCCCTATGCTTGAACGGAGGAAGAAGAAAACAAGACAAAATAACTGAGGCCACCACCGACCCACGTTCTGTATTCCTTTACAGCTACTGTTCTCAATGGGATAGTCCAGGAACTGCAACTTTGGAGAACCCAGGATTATTCATCGTTGTGAGGCAGCCTAACAAAGTGAAGCTGTTCTATCGATGTCTTTGGGAAGGAGGAACGCTAGTCTCTGACCCGAGGGCTTTCTTAGGCTCTGATTACACTCACCTCCTCTTTAATATCATTTTCCAATTCAGCATCAAGGAAATCCAATGTTACTGGCTCCTGAGATTTAGGGTTCTACACACAAAAATATAATAAGTAAGTAAATATGATCGTGTAAAATGATTTTATGCATATGACTATTCAATGAAAATTTAAATATGAAAAATTCTGTAAAACGTACTTAACTCAGAGATGTAAAATATTTATTTTCTTTCATGTATTTTTTTAAAAAACCAGACACATAAAAAACTAAATTACAAGAGCTAGCCATCTGAGTTTTCAGCAGACAGAATTGTGCTGTGTTAGATGATACATTTATGATCACAGGAATATAACTTTTGAAGATGCTCTCAAAATGTTTTCTTTTGTTAGTCAGACAGAATATGGGCATTTCTAACTTATCAAAAAGAACATAAGCAAAGGCATTTGCTATTCTATAAAGAAATCAAGAATTTTATGAGGGAAAAATGTTTTTATCTAAATTTACTAATAAAATAAGCTCTTCCTTCTTGAGATATATAGAAAACCTGCACATTTAATGCATATGTTGAATCCTAGAGACACATTATGTCACATTATGTCATACTCAAATTAAGACAAGATTTTATATTAAAACTTGTGATCATGGTATAAAGATTTAAGTCTAGATAAGATATTATAATTTAAATGTAAAGATAACAACTGCCGAACTCAATACCATTTCTTGCTTCAGTATCTATAACTTTTGGAATATTAGATTTCTTACCTGTAATAATAAATGAAGTTATATTTACAATAAGATATACAATTTATTTTTTTTACATTATTATAACAAAAGAAACCATTTGCCTGACAAGTTTATCTCATATGAGATCATTTAAATTCTCAATCATAAAATGAAAACTCAATGAACTATTTGATAAATAAAAACCTAGTCATAGTTTAGTAGAAAAATAAAATCCTAATAGATATGTAATTTTATAGCTTTAAAATTTTATAAAATGAATTTTTGGCATTTACTAAAATAAATATTATCAAACTCTAAGAATTAAATAATAACACAAAAAACATCCTGGGCTAGCTTTAAGGTCACTAATATTTCAATAATTTCAGCCTCCCAGGCTCTTACAAAATATGTCTAAGTCATTAATATGCTAATTACTGTTTCATGAGGATAAACTACCAAAGACAATAATTTTAGTTAAAAAGGTATTGATTTTATAATTATGACAAAACTATTTTCCTTAAAATAGTAGTTATAATAATAAAACCTTAAGATTTTCATGGCTTTTGATGAATGGAGATTCTAAATGTTAAATTAAAAATGATTTTGGCATTTTTATTGAAAATATTCATTGTTTATTACTCTTTCTACAGTAAGGAAGTTCTATAACATTAAAATAAATATTAGATTTTTTAATAGGTGTAAATACTGACTATTGTTTGGACAGTATCATATTTATTGCCTCAGAAGTAAATAATTCATTTGAAGTACAGCATATTTCATTTGAAGAAAATAAAAATCAATACTGTAAAACTTGCTATATCATTGTTTTTAAAGGAAAACATAGAAGGTCCCTGGCAGAGGGATACTCTAATATCTATTGTATTGTCCACATATGTTTATTCGGTGTTCCAGGGAACAAGCAAACCATTTCACGCAAGTACCATCATTGCCATTAAAATGTAATGCACTCACAAAACCACAATTGAAATAATCAAAATGATAAAATGTAAACAGAAATAAGAACCTTATCTTACATGCAATGGATCATGCACAGCATGATCAGACCCCAACAGCATGCAGGGAGGCATTGTCAAGAATTGGCAACACGAAGACCATGGCCCAATCCAACATCCAAAGACAGAGAAGAAAATGGAATGATAAAAGGAAAACGTCAATGCATAATGTCTTCACTTCAAATGGCAATCTAGCTGGGCACCAAAAAACGGAAGGAAACACAAATAACTGAAACAGTGTCTGAAGAGCACGCCTTGGAAAGAGAAGGCCCCAGAGAAGTAAGACCGGGGACACAGGTCTGGGCTTCCATAATTTTGCATGATATGCCAAATATCAATCACATCTTGATCAAAAACTATATTTTAACTAGCATTATTGTCATATCAGCTTTGTAAATAAAATTAAACGTAGAATACAATATTACTAACACAAAAATTGAAATGATTATGACTTGGTGTTGTTATCAAAATATTAAATGTTTTTATTTCAATTTCCCAAATCGAGAAACTACGTGTGCCTGCTAATTTGCCATTTGGGATTTTTGTAGAAGTAAGTAAAAAAGAAAATACACCATTTTTCAGGTTGTTTTTCTTTTCATTACATCACAATACGTTCATGCAATATTTAAGATTGCTATCAAAATGTAAACTTCACTACATTATCCATGACACCACAGAGAATAATTTAAATAACAAAAAAGAAACATGCAGAAAGAGTAACATAAAACAATTGATTATATCAAGAAAAGACATAAACATCATTCAATTTCCATAGGAATCAAACAGGTATTTTATATTTTAAAAACATTCAGATGCATGGGTCCCATTCCAGGCCAAATTCAATGAGAAAATTCATGAGATGGTGCCTGGGAACTACAGCAATCTATAGTTTTATCTCTTGATATGTCCATTTTCTGGGTGAATATACTTCCTAGGGTAGACAATGATTGGGCAACGCGCCTATCTGCAGAAGAAACTAAAGTACCAAGGGACTGAGTGAACTACTCAAGGAAAACCGCAAACTGGAATTCAGTTTTACTAATCCATAGGTCAATTATCTCTTCATACCATACCACCTTTGCATTAAAATATCACCAAGTCTTTATGAACAAAAAATATCACATTGGGTTTCCTTTGGAATTCTGAAATTCTTTTAATAAGCTATGATGAACTGCATGTAGTATCCTTTATGCCTGCTAATTTTTAGTAGGCTTATGGAAATACAGGGCGTTTCAAAAAGCCATGGAAAAATGGAATTGAAAGATAACTTTATGAAGCTCCCTTGTATAATAACTTTAAAATTTTGCTGTCAAGAGAAAAACATGTCTGCAATGTTTACCAGGCAATAAAAATTCTGACTATTGATGTGATATTCAGGACATTGTGAATAATGCGAAGGAAAATCTTTGTAACTTCAAATCCAAAAAGTGACACCGAGGAATATAGATTTGCTTTTGCTTAGCCTTTAGTTTTTCTTAACATACACATCAGAATTTTATTTTCATTTCCACCCTGAAGTTAATTGTACAAGCCCCTTGTTAGGTTTATGCAGATTTGATATTAACTTAACAATGCTTCATTGCAGGCTTCTTTTTAGAAAGCCATCTCATCGTGATTACTCTGTGGTTAAGGTAACTATTACATACTTTGCTAGCAATGTTTGGTTAGCTGATGCATACCCTCTGTTATCATTAATAACATGTTCAACCATTGGCGGAGATGATGCTCATCAAATTTCATGCTCTTAAAGCTTGGTGTCAGGAGAGGAAGCATTGCTATATGACAATTAAGCATTTTAAAGACCAGAAGCTTCATTTCAACTCTGATTCAGCAAATCTAAATTAATCAGCAATGCTAAGCCTAACTTCATTCACAATTACCTGAACATTGGGTCTCCTTTTTCTTAAATTAACTGTTGGTATACCTACACCAATAGGCTGAAGTAACAGAAAAATTGTAATGCATCATATATCAGGATAAGTAAGGGTCCTATCCAATAGGCAATTTTGGTAAGATATTTCCTTGATGGAAAAAAAAATCTCACTGATCCACTTGGGATTCAAAATATTTGGTAGTCAATAAAGCTTAAAACTATTCTTGAGTACACAATTTTATGCCATTAAGTTAACATCAAAAGTCTTTTGCGCATAATGACTGTAACTTTCCTTTCCCCCCAAGAAAAGTTTCTATTTGGGAATTGAAACAGATGGTTTGTTTTGGACAACGTTTTTGCTGACTCAAAATCAAATCAATAAATAAAACAGGGATTTTTAGAATTTACATGATCTAAATGTGTTCTAAAAATTTTAGGATAGGGCAATGAACGTACAAATGTGCTATGCATAATTGATATATATATGGATTGTGATAAGAATCGTCTGAGCCCCTAATAAAACGATTAAAATAAAAAAAAGAAAGAAAATGCTTTGAGAATGATGATGGCAACATATGTACAAATGTGCTTGACACAATGGATGAATGTATGGATTGTGATAAGAGCTGTAAGAGTCTCCAATAAAATATTTAATAATAAAAATAAATTTAAAAAATTTTAGGATAGTGAAACCTTTATTCTTGAACTCCTGTAATTTGTGCCTTTTATATTATTATTAAGTGATACAAAAACACTATATGATTTCCCACACACGTACACATATATACTTTGTGAAATTAATAGGGAATTAAATGCTAACATTGTAGATTTAAATGGTAACTCATGAAACTTAGATTACTGACAATATCTTGTTAAATGCTTTTTAGAATTGATCAAAATGAGATATCTAATAAGAAGGCCAGTTAGTACATTCCAATTATACAACATGGGGGGATTTCAGAATACATCAGACTACACAATTCAACATTTGTCACAAAGTGCAAAGATGGTTACAGTACTCTGATACAATTAGTATCAGTTCTTTAGAAAAGTAAGTAGGTAAAACGATGTTTTATAAATATGCATACACCCACCAGAAGTACCCCAGTACTATCAAGTCAATTCTGACTTCGCCAAATTAACCCTATATAAAGTTTCTAAGGCTATAAATCTTTACCAGAGCAGAAAAACCCCATCTTTCTACTGGGGTGCGGTTTCAACTACAGCCCCACGCATAACCACTACATCATCAGGGTTCCTTGGAGAGAGGCACTGATTGTATTACTCTCAAAATTCCTTTTTGTCCTATGAAATATTTTAATGCGGGCTGGGGATGAAGGTCTGTGATCCCAGAAGTAGGGTCTCTCACACCCTTTCTTTGTTCGCCACATTACATTCCGCATCTTGTCAGGGGACTTCAGGTATGGGAATGTTATCTGAACTCTTATCAGTGTCAAAATACTGAATTTTGAAAAACTACTGAAAGACAAATCCTTAAAAACATGTGAAGAGATGAATTTTCAGCTCTGGAAGAAAGAAAAGGATGCTTGACCAGCTATCAACAAATCCATTAATAGAAATTTAACTGGTATGGCTAGCTAGGAATAATCTGTAAACACTGCCTATCCAAAAAGAATCGCCAACTGTCATGGAGGGCATTACAACCCACGGTGGGCCTCAGGAGTTACAAAGTGGAGCTGAACTGTGTCTTGCTTGTTTCAACTGCAATCTTTCACAGAAACAGACGGCCAGACCTTTAGTCCGTGGTGCCGCATCTCACTGTCAACCTTCCTATTTACGGCAAAGAGCAAACCTTTTGTGTCACCCAAAACCCTTAAAACAAACCTGTTGCCATCAAATTGTTCTTAATTACTATTTATTTTAAGCATATTTAAATCACATAACTTTACATATGTGTCTTAGACTGTCACTAACACTGAATGCCCATGAGCTGCATGCACACATCTCTATGCACTTCCGTCCAGGCAATCTCTGAATCGATTTCAATGTCATTTCGAAAGTTAAACAACCATTTGAAGGTGTAAAAAATTACAAACATGTAACGATATTCTCCTGATGTTTACTTCTGCATAGATACATTTTGCCCTACCTTTGAAAAATTAATGTATAATGAAAGGAGCTGAATGCTACATTTTATGGAAACAGATTATATTTTGAGAAATGGGTACTAAAATTAGGATGAGATGATTCATCTATGAGTTCATATTACTTCCTGATTAACTAACGCAACACATACTTCCTGATTCTGAAACCTAAGCTATGGAGTGTTAGTCTTAAATTTCATACTTATCTTCACAAATCTGCTGGGGAAAAGAAAAGAAAAACAACAAGAACAACAACTCTGGGAGTGGGCAGCGGAGAGAGTCACCAGAAGAGAGAGGAGGTGGGAAATGAGATTGGGCCCAGAGGAACATGATTAATGTGGATCAGGTTCATGGCCAAGTGCTCTCCACTGTCTTATCAAAGTCAGAAGTGGGACATGTGAAATTGAGGTAAGGGAAGTGATAATGGCTACCTTTCAGCTGAGAATATTGGTTCAGCTGAACTGGTGAGGGAAAATGATCATTGCTTTCCCTCTTTCGTATATCTTAAACCACCCTCTTGTCATCTAATGAACAAAGCCACTGCAAATGTCTTTTATAAAAGTGTTACACAGTGAATTTTAAAAGACAAACCAATTATAGCATTAATTTTACTGGACACTAAGAGCTGTAAACAAAATATATACATACCTTTGGCTGAAGATTTGGATGTAATAAAACATACCCATTAGGATCGATTGCAAAATAATAGCCATTGGGGCATAGCTGAAAAAATAATACAACACATCCCAAATCACATACTGAATATCCACATTCTTTTTATTAAAACTGATGACATATTTTATAGCATGATACAGGAGCATATGGTATCTTCACAGTTTAATTTAAAGATGCTTTTAATCATTTTTTTAAAAAGAATTGCTAAAGTGATTTGTGTCCAAGGTAAATTGGCAGAGATTACTGAAATATAAAATGCACCAAAAGAAAAAGCTGCAACTTACTGTAAAACGTGGTGTCAATCTTTTAATGTCTTCCAGTGACACATCAACTCCCATCACTCCAAGAATCAACTGATTCTAAAACAAGATGGTAAATTGTTACTATATTTTATACTAAAGTAAGATATTTCTCAACAAGTATAATACACAATCATGATATTACTTTGCTCTGAACATGGCTGCATTATAGCCTAGTTTAAATATACATATCAGATGAGGCTTCCAGACACATTCTTGATTGACAATAATCAGTCTTTAAATACATTACAGTGGGAGTTGTAGTGGTAATGCATGACAGGGAGGCAATGTGGAAAACTGCGATTATATTTATTTATGGGACACAGATAATAATTAGAAACACTCACCAGTAAATTAATGCAACATCTTAGTTTATAGTAGGATAACTTGTGCAATCAGTAAACACACATGAGAAGAGGGTCAGAGATTTTTTCCCTTTTTTTTATATGTTAGCAATATTTAAGATCTCCAACTGTTAAAGAATGAAAGTTGTACGAGAACTAATGTTTTTTGTAACCCCATTATTAAAAAGGAGTTCAAAAGAGATTTATAATAACTGAACAAATAATGCTTAAGAGTAACAGACTTCATTATATCATAAATGGAAAATAAATATCTTTTCAAATAAGAAATGTCACCTGAATTTTGTAATGAATATTTAGTATTTAAAATAACTTCTCCTGCACTATGAAATGTCTTTTTAATCATGTTAAGGAACAGAACTGCAACCCTCGGTTTAAATCAAAATACAGAAGGCAATTGTGAAAGACTGAGATACATATATTAAGTAGGTGGCATTTTATTATATTGCTAATAAAGCAATAGAAACAATCAATCAAGCAACAGAAATCAAGCATATGCCTGGAACTCATTAAGTATTTTTTACTGTATCTTAAAAATTATTAAACCATAATAAAAACTATTCATATAAATCAATTCTTTATCCTTCATGATTTAAAATCTATTGCTTGGATTTTAGTTTAGCTTCAATATATACATCTGAAGAGTAGGTAGAAAATTATGGCTATAAATAATAAAATCCTTTGTTAAAAAAAACTATGAAAATGTGAAGCTATTGTTCTTAACAATTTTTCCATCTAGATCTATATGTTTTGGAAGTGGTTTCCATCCCTCATTCTCCATGAAGAATTCTGAAATTTTTAAATTTAAATCAAGTCAAAATTTCAAAACCAAAAAGAATTCTGCAGGGACAAGATCAGGACTGTAGGGCAATATGTCCCGAATTCCCATAGGACAGCCTTTGCTACCCTTGAACAATGAGCAGGTGTATTGTTGGAATGGGCAAACATTTCCTTAACAAAGCTCTCCTGGCCTTTACTCACCAATTCAAGTTTCTATTTTCTTAAAACTTCTTTACAATACATCGTTGTGATCATCCTCTGTCCTTTGAGAAAGTCCCTTGCAAGTCCCCCTAAACCAGTGGTTCTCAATCTTCCTAATGCTGTGACCCTTTAATACAGTTCCTCGTGCTGTGGCGACCCCCCAACCATAAAATTATTTTCGTTGCTACTTCATCACTGTCATTTTGCTACTGTTATGAATTGGGCGACCCCTGTGAAAGGACCCACAGGTTGAGAACCGCTGCCCTATACAGTCATCATCACTTTCTGAGCAGACCTCTGCCTTGATTACATAACTAGCCAAGCAAATCCCTTGGAAGACCTTTTTTTTTATTATTGGCTCTTTTTAATGAAGGTGTCCTAATGAGTCTAAGACAAGTCTATTACTGAGATAACTTGTCTGCAATCATTCATTTTGTTTGGGATAAACCTAGACATGCATGAACTAGGGCCCTAGTAGCCATACATTTGGACTTATCCTAGTATGTTGCCTAGTATGGATGAGAACAATTGTGAGGCTGTCTCGGGGCGGGCAGTGTTTTCTCGGCTGTGTACAGAGCTACTGTTGCGTCAGAATCAACCCCAGAGCGCCTAACAACAACAAGGACGCTTTCCTGACATAAAATATACATCACCATGATTTCACTCTTTAGGCTCTTTTCTGGACTCTATGGATTTCTGAGACTTATTCTGAACATATGCACATAATATTGTACACGGATCATGTAATGGTTTCCAGAGTCTGCGTTTGCATTCCCATAAAAACTGAAACTGAAAACGAAGCTCATTGCCACCCAGTCGATTCAGACTCAACGTAACCCCACGAGACATGGTAGAACTGCCTCCGTGGGTTTCTGAGAATGTGACTCGTTCCCCACGTAGCAAGCCCTTTCTCCCAGCGAGTGACCGGTGGTTTCAAACAGTGGACCTTGCAGCCCAATGAGCAACCACTCCGCCACCAGGGAGGGTGCCTTTCAAGTCATAGTTAAGTAGAACAAAGTTCAAGTGTGGCTTTCAGGGCAACAGAGTTTGACCTTATTTCCTTTTTCCAGGTGATATCACGTAGATGGTTGTTGACCTTACAAGACAGTTAGTGTGTATGTATTTCCTTAGAGAACTCTCTTATCTACATTGAGCTTCAATGTCACAGTTTATCAGTCATTATTATTTATGTTATCAATTAACTTCTAACCTTTATATTTCCTTTATTTTCATCTTGGCCACCAGTAATGTTGAAGACCGGAAGTGTTCCAGTAATGACAAGCCCTAGTTCCTAAAAATAAATTAAGAGAGCAAAGGCAAATGAAAGTTAAAATTTGAACTTTCCAGCAGCATCAGCCTTTGATTTTTTTGACATTGTATCTTATATTTACTTTATAAAGAGCCCCAAATGATCCAGTAACTAATTTTACGTATCTATTAAAGCCAATTAAAAGAAATGGTAGAAAGAATATGGATGCTAGTTACTGAACATACTATGTCTAAAATAATACTCCAAAAGAGCGCTAGGCATAACTAACAGTAAAGATCACCCTAAACACATAATCAACAATATCTAAACAGATCTTTTTTTTTAACCTAAACATTTCTGTAACTTTGCAACTGCCTTTTGAAAATCAAAACTAGTTCACCTGATAATATGGGCTTCCATGAATACAGCCATACTAAAATATTATTTTAAGTAATTTATTTACCTTACCTTGTAACTGCATGGTTAATGCTTTTTTGCCCTAAGTCAATGTGATAAGTCACAAGCATGCAGCAGAACAGCATTAGCAACAGAAGAGTCATGCTATTGACACTGCATTTCTGGGATAGGTTACGTGGATGTCAGTGGTTTCAAAAGAAGCAACATAGTTTCTAGATCGATCCCAGCTGCGGTTCGCTCACTCCTGACTCCTGGTGACCACCTGTGTACCAGAGAGCTGGGCTCCACAGCCTTTTCCGTGGCTCATCTTCCCACGGTCGATCATTGGTCCTCACTTCCAAGACACCTCTGCGTGAACTCAAACCACCAACCTTTCAGTTAGCAGAGGAGGACTGACGTATGTTTACCCACCAAGGAACGCCCTAGTTAACCAGTTCAACCTCTGAAATTGCCTATGACTTAGAACCATACATTTGAAAAAACAAAAACAATGGGAAGTGAGTTAGTTGGGAAAAACAATCATAGAGAGGCTTTCAGAAAAATGGAAAAAAACAAATTTTTCGTGACCTATAAAAATTAAGATAAAAACAAACAAACACAAAAATTATATTTTGTTGGGCGGATGGTGGTATGCACCTTGACTCTATGTATTCTGAAGCCAGACATTCCAAAATGAAGTCACTGATTATTTAAACAAATTTATTTTCACACTGAAAATATTCTAATTTAATAAAGTCAAAATCTAGGAAACCTCATGAAACTGATATCCAGAAGCTAATTCAGTACAGTTATCTTTTGGTGAACTTTCTATTTGAGTAATAGTTTATATGTACAATTTAAAAAATGTTATATAATATATAGTATACATGGAAAGTTTTTCTTTGCATCACTTTTGCACATAGTCCAAGATACCATTGTCCGCTTCCAAAACCCTAACATATACCACAAATGGTATACCAGATTACTAACATATTAACCATTCACCCATGAGCTTATTGGAACTGCACTTCCATTTTCTCCACCGCTTCTTGGGTAAACCATAAAGGTGCATTCTCTCGCTAGGTACTGCACAATGATGAGAGTCCAGAACGAAATCAACACATTCTATGGCCTCCTTGGGTTTACTTGATTTGTATTTTCTAGGCATGCATTTCTAAAACAAAGATCCTCACTTTATCTTCTAAGGGAAAACTGTCTGTCTTTCTGAGCCTTCCACCAGATTGTCCCACATCTTACAGCCTCCAGAAGTATCCTGGCTATCACTTCCACCCCCCACCCCCCCACCCCCGGCTCTTCCTCACTCCTAGAAGGCATCTTCTCTGGGTGGATGCTTCACTTCTCATTAGCAGTGATTAAAAACCCTCTTGGCTCATAGGGTCTGGTAAAATGCTGCCATCTTTTTAACTGTTCCATTCCCCTAACTAAATAGGGGTTCTTTTTCTTGAGTTCCCAGAGCTCTTTGCACTTTTTCTGGTTTGTACTTTGTTGCGGGTCATTTTTAGTTCTTCCTTGTTGATATATAGCTAGAGGAGGTCTTCAGAAAGCTCCTGGAAAAAGGGAATGGAAAGAGAATGGAATTTTTTTTCATGAACTGTCAACAGCCATCTCAGATGACGTAGGCAACATTTGGGATCTGCCTGCAATAGTGGCTTCCGCAGTGGGCCAAGCATAACAACTGTGACGATGGCACAGGACTGGCCAGTGTTTCATTCTGCTGTACAGGGGTCACAGTGGCGAGTCAGACCAACTCTACCATACCGAACAACAATATGTGTACAATTTTTAAAAAATGAATAAAACATATAATGTGCTGTAAGGCACCATCAAGTTGGCTCCAAGCCATGGAATGAAACAGGGCACGGTCCAGCGCCATCCTCACAAGTGTTCCTGTGCCCGAGCCCATTGATGCAGGCACTGCGTCCATCCATCTCGTTAAGTACCTTCCTCTCTTTCGCCGCCCCTCCACTTTATCTAGCATGATGTCCTTCTCCAGGGACTGGTCTCTCCAGACAATATGTTCAAACTATGTAAGACCAAGTCTTTCCATCCTTGCCTCTAAGGAATACTCTGGCCTTACTTCTTCCAATAGAGATAGGCTTGTTCATTTAGCAGTCCATGGTATTTTCAATATTCTTCTCCAGCACCACAATTCAAATGCAAAATATATAATGGTGACATATAATTCTCAAGTCAGTAAAAAGAATACTTTAAGTGTCTACTGGACAGCCATTTCTTCAGTCCCATTTTTTTTCCCTTTCAAATAAGTTCAACTTGTACAGCAGCACATTTAGAGTCAGCATTTCCTCCCAAAGTCATTTGTGCTATCAGTCAGAACTTTACCAGCAGTGCAGACATGCTGGCTAATGAACTTCGGGTCATAGGAAACACAACAGGACATAATAATTGGTTTTCCATGTCATACACTGTTCTGTGATGGGTTTGAAAAATTAAAACACTGTGACCATAGCTTTAGATGACCATGTGACCTTTAGAAAATATGTGATGTGAAGAAGTAATAGTAGCTCAAGCTGGAGGTAAGCAAACTTCACTTTATCTTTCTTAACATGCAAGGCTATTGCTAATAGTTCCGATTCTTTTTCTAACTTCCTTCATGTGTTTATTTTATAAGAATCCCATGATAAATAATTCTAGATGGGTTATATTTTTACCCCTTGGTTCATCATTACATTCAGAAAAGTGGTATCAGGATACAAGAGAACGGCAAGTAGGAGAAGGGAATTATTGAATTTGCATTTACATTTCATAGCTTGACTTTTAAAATTTTTTATTCCCTCTACTGTATCATTAGTAAAATGGTTAATAAATTTCTCATTAAGATAAATCATACACTGATCCCTTCTACACCTCATGGTCAGACAGGCTGGTGTGCTTCTTCCATATGGGATGCTTCTCAGCTAGATGGCCGCTTGTTTGTCTTCAAGCCTTTAAGACCCTGGACGCTATATCTTATGGTAGCCGGGCACCATCAGCTTTCTTCACCACCTTTGCTATGTTCACATTTTTCTTCAGCAATCGTGTCGGGAAGGTGTGCATCCTGGAATGCCAATTTAATAAAACAATGCGTTCTTGTAATGAGTAAGTGCTTGATTAGAGGCCAAATGTCCATCTGCTGCCTTAATACTAAACCTATAAACATATGCACGTAGATCTGTTTCCCCACACTCTTATATAAATATATTTACATATATACATTCCAGTCTTAAAACCTCTATACATACCCTTTGTCCCCTAGTTCTTTCCTCTATTTCCTTTTACTTTCCTCTTGTCCCACTATCATGCCTTCATTTGGGTTTCAGTGATTTCTCTCGGTTACATTGCCCTTGCTGAATCCCTACCAGGCCTCTCACACCCTCCTTGAACTGAATATCATATCAGTGGGTGCCCGCTTTACTGACACAATAACTGAAGACAAACGTGTGCATTAGCAAATGTGGTGAAGAGAGCTAGTGGTGCCTGGCTATCAAAATATATAGTGTCTGGGGTCTTAAAGGCTTGAAGATGAACAAGCAGCCATCCAGCTGAGAAGCATCAAAGCTCACATGGAAGAAGTACACCAGCCTGTCTGCCCACAAGGTGCAAAAGGGACCAGTTATCAGACATCAAAGAACTAAAATCAGATCAGTGGGTGCCCACCTTCCTGATACGATCACTGAAGACTAATGTGTGCATAAGCAAAGGTGGAGAAGAAAGCTGATGATGTCCGGCTATCAAAAGAAAGCGTCTGTGGTGTTAAAGGCTTGAAGATAAACAAGCAGCCAACTAGCTCAGAAGCAACAAAGCCCACATGGAAGAAGCTCGTGTGAACACGAGCTGTCGAAGGGATCAGGTATCAAGCATCAAATAACAAAAAATCATATCATTGTAAAGGTGGTTGAGTGCAGAGTGGAGACTCAAAGTCCATCGGTAGGCAACTGAGAACACCCCTTTACTGAAGGGTTGTGGGGAGGAGACGACCCAATCAGGCTGCAGGGTAGCAACGATGAAACATATAACTTTCCTTTAGTTCTTAAATGCTTCCTCCCCACCACTATCATGATCCCAATTCTACCTTACAAATCTGGCTAGACCAGAGGATATACATTGGTACAGATAGCGACTGGAAACACAGGGAATCCAGGACAGATGACTCCTTCAGGACCAGTGGTGAGAGGAGCTATGCCTGGAGGGTGAAGGGAATGTGGGGTAGAAAGGGGGAACCGATTACAAGAATCTAAGTATTGCCTCCTCCCTGGGGGAGGGACAGTAGAGAAAAGGGCAGAGGGAGACGTCGGGCAGTGTAACTTATGACAAAGCTATAATAGTTTATGAATTATGAAGGGTTCATGAGGGCGGGGGGAGTGGGGAGGGAGGGGAAAATGAGCAACTGATATTAAGGGCTAAAGTAGAAGGCAAATGTTTTGAGAATGATGAGGGCAACAAATGTACATATGTGCTTGACACAATGGATGTATATATGGATAATGATAAGAACTGTACGAGCCCCCAATAAAATAATTTTAAAAAAGATAAATCATACAAATAAATCTAAAGTATGTATTTCTAATTCTAGAATAATTCTACTTATAACTTTCCTATTATCAAAGTAAAAATATTAAAAGATAGTTTTTCAACCTCAGCATTATGGACCTGTGCATGTCTTGTGCATTATAGCATGTTTGACTATTTAACAGCATCACTGGCTGGGAAACTAATACTCTCCCAGTCACAGCCATTTTAAAAAGTAGAAATATAACCCAGGGCAAAATAATTCCGTCTTTGAGAATGACTGGTCATATGATGAAATAGTCATATTAAGATAGAAACTGTATCATGGGCATATTAAAATATATTATTTATTATTCCACAACAGTTTGAATCACCTCAGGGGAATAGTTCCATAAATGTAGGTGAGTCTGACTCTTATGCAACATTATGTAAGCAAGGGTTTCCATGACTGTCAATCTTTACACAGTATGTTCCATCATCTTCCCATGGAGCAGAAGTTGGCGTGAACCACTGACCTTTTGTTTAACCCATGTTTAACCTACTGCGCCACCAAGGCTATTTCTGTTAACTAAAGTGTGCTTTAAAAATACTTCCCAAAAGTCTTGTTCATGATCTTCAGTAATAGCTCTTGGCTTGTGCATATGATTTCCAGCATTATATATTAATTTGTTGCCTTCAAAACTCAATACAATTACTAACGTACCCATAGAGGCATGCTCCAAGTTTTCAAAGTCTAGGTGGTAAGTTTACATTCTACATGGATCAAACTGAAATGAAATAATATTTCATGTTTATAACTCTCTACTCCACGCAGGCCTAGGTTTTTAGATATGTTATCTGATTTCTGTTAAAGAAGGTTATGGTAAAACAATCCTAGAAAGTTTTAAACATAGTTCAGAAATGGAAAAATCAGCTAGAAAGAAATGTGAGCTGTGTACCTTTGTCATGTCATTAGTTTTGGTTAAACAGAGATCTTACCAGTGCATCCAGATACACATTTGTCCACTGGACTTGCTTTGCTTTGTCTCCTGCTAAAACCATTGGTCTTCCCAGAACATCCAAATATTCCTAGTGTATATATAAAGAAGGTTAATGGCTGAATAATAGGAATAGACTGTTAAAAAGAACTACACAGAAGGAAAAAAGCTACAGTAAAATATAAAAATGGAGTGAAAATTAAGAGTATACGAGAGGGTAACCAAAACAACCAGGAATTTTTTTTTCAAAGCCCATGTATTTAAATTTTTACACTTAATACATTTGTCAGATCTCCTATTCAATGCTTGGGAAACATTTTTCGAGCTCATCTGTTTGATCACTGACAGCACCTCCCTCTTTTTATTCTTCATGCTTTCTAAGTCTTCCAATCACTGTCCTTTCATGTCCCTCTTCATTTGTGGAAACAAAAAGAAGAGGCACAGGGTGAGGTCAGGTGAGTAAGGTGCTTGGGGCAAGAGAGGCATGCTGGTTTTTTGGGTTTTTTTTTGCCAAACACTTGCCCACTGAGATGGCTGTGTGAGCAGGTGCATTGTCATGGTGGCAAAACCAGTCCCCCTTCTGCCACAAATCAGGCCTTTTGTGTCACACATTGTTACATAATCTTTTCAGAACCTCTAAATGGAAAGCTTGATGAACAGTCTGACCTGGTGGAATGAACTCCAGCTGCACTATGAGTGGACATTTTCAACCGTTCAGAAAGACTGATTGAGGTTTGTCATCAATCAACATTTCACCTTTCTTGAAATGAGAAAACCACTCCTACACTTGAGTTTTTCCCACAGCACTGTCTTTGTAAGCTGTGTTCAACATCACAACAGTTTCTGCATCATTTTTCCTGACTAAGAAACAAAATTTCACAGGCACATGCTATTCTTATAACTCGGCCATCACAAAAAAATGAGGTCCAAGGGAAACTGTTTCTACAACAAAATTCACTGTGACCAAAGAAAACCTTCCAGGCGATGCCACTGGGTGCACCAACTCAGAACGAGTTGCTAGATGCTTATTATGTATTTTGAAATCTCTGCTCCATCCAGGACAATTCTGTTTTGGGGGGAGGTACACCCTCGTATTTAATTACATTTAATTGCAACATTGAGTACTCCATTAATAGTATGCCGACATACTTTGAATCCACAAAGTTGAACTTAGCTTATTATACAACATAGTTACTCCTGAACTTACTTTTTTAAACAACATATCTACTCCTGTGTTTCTAGTAACCATCAGAATAGTTTCTTTCTGAGGTACAGCCAGTGATAAGTGAAATGCATTCCTTGTGAATTATTTTATGGTAATCTAAACTATTTGAGGCTCTCAGACTTACTGATGAAATTTCACAAATTTGAAATAATAAAGCAGCCACATGCTTGTTTTCACATCACAGATTGCTTGGCTGAGATTCAAACTATATTTAAACATATCAAAAAATAAATGGAATACTGGGCCAAATCTTGACATCAGACTCCAACGTAGCTGCTATTTCACTACAACATTCAATGTATTCATTATTTACTTCCACAAAGGCACTGCTATTTATGTTAGATTTTGACTTAGTCTATTTTGTTGATCATCAGTTATGTTTTAAATCAGCATGGATTTTAAATAGTAATTTATGAATATTAAAAAAGATACATGTAGATTAATCTATTTAATAGTCATGTTTTAAAACAAATGGTTGGAGAAAGCACATCTACTAACTTTAGCTTTATTTTTAACAGAAAAATGGATCCAAGAGTTATTTTAGGATGTACAGTGAACCCTCGCCACTTCACACTTCGACTTCCGCGGCTTCACTCTATCGCGGTTTTTGCGTAACAGCGCATGCTCTGTCATTACTGCCACTGATTGGCTCATACTGTACATGCTTCTGTCTGCATCGCTACGTATCAGAGCTACGTATCAGATGCATTTTTGCTTTTGTACAGTGTACTGTAATTGTTTGCGATTTTTAAGAAATTTTATCTAAGCCCTATGATGGCTCCTAAACGAGCTGCTTCTTCTAAGCCTTCTGACAATAAAAATAAGCGCCAGAGGAAGATGCTCACCATCCAGGAAAAGGTAAAACTTTTGGATATGATCAAAGATGGCAAGAAAATCGTGGAGGTTTCACGCCATTGATTACAGTATTTGTAAGAACTATGTATAATAATACTGTATGTGAAATATGTAATACTATAAACTAGATGCCATAAATAATATAATAAATAATAAATGATAATTGTAACGTCCAAAATGTTGTACTGTATTTTCCCTTTTCCGTTTAATAAATTGGGTAATACGAGTGTAATGGTGACTAAAGGGTGTTTTTTCATGTCCTCTATGCTCTAACTATGAAAATATTTGATTTACAAATAAGGAATCCTACTTTGCGGAATTTCATTTATCACGGTAGGGTCTAGAACTGATTAAGCGCGATAAACGAGGGTTCACTGTACCTAGTTAGGGTTAGGGTCCTATATAATTCTGTTTATTTGTAAACATTGTCCCTAGAACTTGATCTATAGTTCGCATCCAAATTACAAGGGATGAAAATACAACAGGCTTGTTCTTTGTTTATCTGGCCTTCGGATGTCAGAAGTACTTTGGACTTCAAGGGACAAACGGCTAATACAGTTCGACAATGGTCAAGTCTCTGCACCACAAATGCATCAGCACAGGCCTGACTTCATTTTCATCTACTGTCAACAGATGGCGGATATTTTGACATTTACGACAGAAGACATTTGTCTTATTCTTGGCAAAATAAAGTTTCAAATAGCGGTACCTGAGTGTTGATTCTGATAGCTCCAATGGAAGGGATTTCATAATAATAACCTGAAATACACACAAGTATTACATTACTTATAAATGGCAATAAACTACTTTTTTAATTTGTGGGATATAACAAGCATTTTAATTTCTGAGACAATTTCTGAGAGATTATATGAACTTGTTAACACTTTTGATGAGTATACAACATTTAACTACATGCCACCCTTTGGTGGTCAGTTGGCTCCTTTTTACCCACGGATTTATTACGAAGCAGTAAGGAACTTGAAGAAACTAGTAGACATAGATGATCTTGAGACGTATGTGATCATTATAGTTATAAACCATATTTGCATAAATATGACATTTAAAATAAATGTTTTGTTCCTACCCGATCACATTTCCACAATTATTTTTCTAAAAAAACATCTTTTATTCTGAGTACAAAGGAAATATAAGCTTACAGGACAAAAATCTTAAGTATTTCATTAGTGTGAAAGTCCAGTCAAACTGAAACACCAATAACTAACAACTCAGAGGAACAGCATCTGTGTATCTGTCATACTCTCGCAAATCTAAATTCTGATAGCTCCAATGTATAACCTAAGTATAACCAAAACAATTTCTTGTTTTATCACAATGTGGTAAAAAAAAACACCGGATTTGTTACCTTTATTTTCACAAGCCATCCACTGAACGGGCCCTCTGTCATAATTATGTTGACCAACTGAAAATGTGAATACACGCACCTGGATGAATTTTAAAAATTGTATTGGTTAGCCTGGAAAATTTTAAATGAATGGTAAGATATAATAGCTAAGGCTTTAAAATGCATGTGTTACATTGGATAATATGATCAGAAAAGTCGAGTCTCATAACGAATTTAGGAAGCTCCCAGAGAGAGATCTCTTGGTCCAATGCAAACAGAGAAGGATTTCAGGGGGTAAGTCAGCCGCTGGGTGCCTTACACCAGATCCCGACCTTGAGCAGGATCCTGACTGACCTTTCATGAGGAGAAAATGGAATATCCGCGTTCCACTGTGCTTCAACTATCTGAATTGGGACATTACTATTTTTAATGTGCTATAAAGTACTAATAATAAAGACAGTAAATAAAATGATACAAAAATTTATTTGAAATTATATAAAACTTGTAGTAATTTAAGGATTTATTGGAAGCAATTGAGTTTAAGTAATAGTATAGAAGTATGTAAGATGAATCCTTTGAAAGAATAAGTAATTATTAAAATACACTATTTATTGGTTTTGGAATCATTTTAGTAAAGCGATGTTCACAGCTTACACTTTCAGCATTTTCTTCAGACAAACAGATAGAATATCACTTTTCCAAGATTTCAAATTCTGGTTTATGACATTATTGAAATATGAACTCTGTTACAAGCTTTTCCCTAATTCGTGTTGACTATTTAAATTGATGTTTTCTAATTGCTTCGTCTGTTTTATCTTTCGCACATAATTCCAGAGGACAAATCTCAAAAGAGATTTCACATCTGTTCTCTGTTCTCTCTCTAGTCTTGGCCACACAGCTCACATCAAAACAACCCCTGCCCCCACACTGTACATCCTGAATGTTGCTCACTCATTGTGAGCAAGTTCAGTATTCGCTGACTTCAAGCTCTCCATTGTTGCCTAAGCCTGTACTGTTAAAAAAAAAAGTAGATAAATTTTTGTTTTAAGCATTGAAAATTGTATGGGTAAATGACGGTATTAAGGTAACAACAGAAGTCGCAAATTTTTCTCTGTATCACTTCAATATTTCTACCTGCCTTTTCTTTCTCTCTCTGGAAATTCTCCTCAAAACAGCAATGGCTTCATGCTCTTTGTTAATGGGGTTATTTGAGAGCTGGTTAGGTATTTCAATGTAATATTGCAGCTTACATAGCTGAGCTTCCTGCTGGCTGGGAGTATTATTTAAAACTAAGTTGGCCACCCTAACTGATAATTCAATTTAAATGTAATAATACTGTTAGCAATTGTTATGTGATTTCAGTGCAGGGAAGAAACCCCAGATGCTGTAGAAAGACCCTCTCCTCCCATAATGAACATTTGGAAACACGGCAACATCTTCAGTGAAAAGCATGCTTCTGGGTTCTAACACCTCCTACGAATAAAGGACTTTTCTGTAGATTGCTTTCAATGAGAAGATGAAATAAATGACAGATTATCTCTGTTTCTGGAAGGCAAGCTCATCTAGAAACATATAGACCATACTCACAGACACTCAGCGTGATACTTTTGACTGATGTTATTCATCAAATAGTCCAAATAAACACATAAGTCAGCCTAAAACATACCAGTCAAAACTGCTTGTTGCTTTATTTGTTTTCACTCAAAAAGTTTCACTTAACTCCCAAGTATTTTCCTACATGGAATCCTTAGAGGATATGAGAATTCAGGCTTGGGGTGGAAGGGTATATTCTGTCACATTTAATTATAATTGTGTAACAATTTTAAGATGCTAAATGGAATTTTTTTCTCTCTCAGTTCATTGCTGCATGCAGGTTATTTGAACATGAACTGCATGTTCAAATGTATCATGAATCCCCCTGTCTTCAGTTTTCATTTGTGCTATCACAGAATTGTATGAAGGTATTATTTGCAATTTCCCCCCCAATAGTCACTGAAATCTTCAGAATTAGACATACAGCCATCTTTAAAAAAGCAAAAGTTTTTGTACTGTCTTACCCGTATAATATTTACAAAATCTTTTTACTACATCTAAGAAATTTATTTTTCACTTGTAAATATTTGGTGATAGATGTATAAACTAAATTATCTTGGTGCTTTTCGCAATGATGGTACACACATAAATTTATTGAAAAAAAGGTCCGCATGAGCTCCACCATGTTTTGATTCTTTATATGAAAATGAAAAGTGAATTCAGAGGCAGTTAAATCCAGGTGGCCACACACATATTGATTATTTGGTTGTAACTATTTTAGCAAATTATGGAATAACAACTTTAACTTTATTGATATCACATACATTTCACAGGGCATGTACAAAATGAGCTGGCAGAAATGAGAACATTCTTTGTCTGCACTGATGTTCCACTTGGTGTTGCTGATGGCTCCATTCCTATTTTACACTAGATTACTGCCACCCTGTGGAAGTTAATGGGCTACCATAGAATCCTCAGGGCCTGACCCACAGATGAGAAGGCTACTGAAATAATTCCTGCTTCCCACCATGTCCTGATATTTTTTTTCTGTGCTAGATGCAGTTTCATTATTTTGAGAAAGGGGGGGGGGGGATGAAGTGCTTTCTTAAACTACGTACAAGTTTGCATTTAAGACAAACGGTGTCCTCAAACGTGTTTTAAGAGTTGGTTGCATAATAAGTTTGCAAGATCCTATTAGGTGCAGCAGGCAGTGTGCATTTGTCCGCTAACTGAAAGTCAGCAGTGCTCCCAGGGAGAACTAGGAGGCTCACCGCGCCTCCTGCAGAGTGAGCGGCACAGCCTAGTCTGCCCTATGGGGTTGCTGTGAGTCAGATCTCATTCAATGGCAATGGGTTTGTTTTTGTTTGCTTGGTGCTTATAATAAAGCCCTACATTTGTATAACAAATGCAAACTGAAATCTTTCTGCTGTGCGTGGTATTTTCTAGAACATTTGCTAACTTGTCCCCAAATATCCTGTCTGATTTCAGATAGGTTTATGCACAGTCCCGAAGCACCTGTCCCACCGTGGGAGAGAGAGGCGCTTTCTTTTTCCTCCCATAAAGAGAGAAACCCACAGGGGCAGCTCTATCCTGTCTTACAGGATTGCCAGGGGTCAGAATTGTCTCAGTGGCAGGGAGTATGTGATGCTTATAAACGCTTGCTTCTATGAAATTTCCATGATACATTCACAAATAAGATAAACACACAATTACAAACAGCACTGATAAATTATTTGTCAAAATGCTTAAAGCCAAAACAATGAGAAATTGGTATGGAATAAAAGTTGGATTGGCTTAAAGTAGTTCCAGTAATGTCCACTTCACAGCAGGTCACACTGACGGTAGCGGCACACACATGAAACCATTTACTCAGAAACAACAGCAAGTGGGTAGCAGAAGTGGTCTGTGTGGTACACCAGAGGGACTGAAGGAAAGGTCTTAGAGTCATCTGACAGAGGAATCGGTCAATTCTCATGTCTGAGACCCCCCCTGTACTTAAACCAGAGTGAATTCTTAATCTTTTCAATTTACATTAAACAGACATTCTCAATGGAGTTGAAAAAACAAAATTATCATCAGGCATGTACAGTCAATGCACACACTATTAGTGTATGGCTTTAACCTTAAAGAATAAAAACCCTTCTCACTATTACAGACTTAGTTATATGAGACGTTCAGAGATAATTTGGTAGAAGAACTAACAAAATTAAAATAGAAACTAATGCTAAATATCATTGCCAATTGTAAAATTACACGTGTGCCCACATTTACTTTAAAACCCATTTCTTAGTTTTTAAGTGACATCTTTGAATAGAACATTATAATTTGGATAAATCCAAATTAATCTGTCAAGCCTGTCTTATCTGATCAGAGACAAACTTTTAATTACAGTAAATTTGGTTACTTAAAATAAACTACTGACTTGTGGCTTACAATATACCACTGATTTATGAATTTATCCTACAGTTCTTGACTTCTGCTAATCTGGTTTTTGTTTTGTTTTGTTGTTTGAAGCCTAAAATGCTTGCCTTCAATTAAGAGTTTTCTAAAGCCACAAGGTCAGCCTATTTTTAAAGACCCTAAGTTGTGCTTGTTTCCCAGCAAAGCCCGGTTACTGGACTCTGTCACTTCAACAATTATCAGTTATTCAGAGTTCAAGTTTAATTTACAATAGGCAACTGTCCAAAGATTAATGGAAATGAGACTATGAAGAAAGGGAGCCAATAAAACCAAAATGAAATATTCACTATTGAAACATGTTAGAAAAATGATGTCAGAGATGGGTTTTTATCAATTCACTCTGTGTACTAAAGTTTTTGGCATTAAGCCTATAAAAATACTGGCTAGGACTGAGTATTTTAGGAGAAAATTCTGTCCTCATTTCCAGAATTCACCAATATACCAGAACACAGAGCATTTGAATAACCCACGTGTCTAGTATTACAGCATTATAAAATAGAGTCTCAAAATTCACTTTTCACACTTCCTTTATTTTATAAAGCTCAATGATATGACAGGTACTTAACCTGCAAAGCTTTCACAACTCAGTTTAATCCATCTTGGCCTACCAGGGCCCTGAGGAGTCCGTTCCTTTGGGGTTAAGACTTGCCATCTCGCCAGGAAGACAGCTCCTAGTGAACAAGCGAGGACTGCACTAGCCACAGGGTTGCCCAGGGGTAAGAGAAACAGACCAAGCAGGCAGGTTTCCGTTCTATTTGGTGAGGTTATGAAATTTGGATCCTAGCTCATTAAATCCTTGACTCTGTCACTTTCTAGTTGTACAACTTTCAGCAAGTTATTTAATTTCTCTAGTTTTAATTTTTATAGACAAAATAGAGATAATGAGAGCCCCCAATAAAATAAAACTTTTAAAAATTAGAGATAATGATGATAGTAACATTTCTATAATATTTATGTTCCAGGCATAACTAAATTATCTCATATTCAAAACAAAACAATAACCTCAAAATGCCACCCTTTGGTGATCAGTCAGGCTCCTTTTTACAGATGGAAATAAATTAAAGAAAAGGGCTAATAGACTAAAGGACGCTGTTTTTGTCTGAGACA